GGAGGTTAGGGATACCATCAGGTCATAAACATTGGGATGACTTCAGTGACCGGAGACAACTTCGGACATCAGTTTCAGTGAAACTAGGAACAAAGCTATTCTTTAAACCTGTGGATGAAGGGAGCATCACATCAGATTATGGGTGTACAAAAAACTTATCTAAGTCACAAACATTCAGCTGGTTATCGCTCCTAATCTGTCTGTCACCAAAATTATAATCTTGTACTCTCCTACTGGTAATTCAGTTGAAAGAGAATATAAATTAGTGTTTACATTAACATATCGACATCAGGATGTAGTAGTTTGGTTAAGATGCCATAAAGATGCATCAATAAAAGAAAAGGCATATTGCTTTGTTCATTTTATCATTTCAAACAGAATTTGAAGTTGGATTTCTTCTGTTTCAGAATAAAAATCATAAAATGCTGGGATTCTCCTACTCAATCATACTGTGATATGTGCCACTGATATCGACACACATAAGTAGTATGTATGACCAATCGAAAGTGAAATGGCTGAAGGCAGAAATTTAATAAGATCGATTAGAAGAGGACGAGAACTGTTATATCCGAGCAAAGATTAAATCACGAGTAACTTCTGAGACCAATTAATTGACTAATATCATCTATATATTCTTATGGTATTATTATTATTCAATAGTTGGATTATGTGTATTTATATTCCTCTTATTATAAGCTTCAATTTGACCTATAGTTTATTATTATACAATTTGCTATCGCTAAATTATGCTCAGTTTATTAACTACTGCCGCCCACCTTCACAACCACTTTTTCGCTTCATTGTGTACAAATGTTACTTTCTATTTTATGGTACGTTGTGGTCTGTTTGGTTGATGTATATAATAACCGAATATGTTTGAAATAAATGATTCATATTGCAGAAGCTGGTATTGGTGTTCTGGATTGAAGTGGACGAACTAGGAGGACATAGGACCAATAAATACTCTAGGCTGCTCATGCCAGTCGAACGTTATTGGTTTGGCACAGTGCTAAGATTGTATAAATCGTATTTTGATTGATGGATAAATCACGTGATAAAAAGCCGGACATAAAACCATAACAAGAACACAGAGTAATTGGTGTGGAAACGAAGAAGAAACAATCAAGTTTGAGACAATTGATTGACATTTTACAAATGAAGTATTTACTGTATGGTTTTCTCAGATTTTACAAAGAGATTCTGTGTCATTTTGTATTGAAACACATTGGATTATCCCCCAGTTTGTGTTCTGGTTCACTACAATATTGTTATCAAAACTCATTATTCTTAAAATGAAAGTAAATCGAACAAAGTTTTACACAAGCTAGACAGCTTGTAGCGGTAAATAAATCTCCAAAATAAGTAGCTCAGTAAGTTTTCGATATTGGATGCTGACCACATGTTTTAATGGACTCACCTAGCTGAAGGCGCTCGGTCATGCATCCGCACCAGATCACGAGTGGGAACGCTGTGCTCAACATCTACTGCAATCGCTAGTCAGATTAGATCAGTCGATTCACGATATATTGATAGTCTATTAAATATATCTTCGAAACTCCTCGTGTCTGTCTTTTGATTTCACTTGTTGGGTACGCTTCATATTAGAAGGTGTTACTGGTTAAAGCGATGTCAAACACTGAATACCCGTGGCATTTTCAAGCTTAGAAAATGAGCAATATGAACCATTGACCTCTCCTCATTATGAAAACAAAATACACTGTGAATGGAAAATCTAATAAATAATAATTATGTCCATATACTGGATATTTTTAAACGGAATCATCTATCAAATATCATGAAAGTTATCATTAATGTTATTTCGAATCATTTGCTGATTATAGGCAGAGATGGATATTGGCAACAATATAATCAACGATGCATGTTTTGATGTATATGAGACTCGTCAGCTAGATGGATGTGCATCTCAAGCTTGGTGTTTACTTCGGATCTATTATATTATTCACTTAATTACTAAGTCCAGATAACCAACGACTTGTACAATGGGGTTAAAGTTTAATTAATTTGTATTAGTTGCTTGCATGTATATCCAAACGACCAGTCTCAAATAGGATGAACCACGCATCCAACATCCCATCACTACCCACTATCCATCTCTGTTTATAATCTGTAGGGTTTAACGGCAATATCAAGGTAATCCACACCGGTTTCACATATCCAAGAAGACTTATTAATTTCAGTGTTACAAAGCAATGGGAAGAATCAAACAATCAATACACAAGAATTTCTCCTTGATCTTGTTCATTTCATCACTTGATAATGGTAACACTTTGGGTAAAGGACATTCAATTATGCTAAACTAACTGTTTTCATCTATTTATATCGATAATGTATACCAAGTTTACTCATAGTTTCACTGACATTACATAGAATATTCATGAAATCATGCAACTGGACAAAAGTCAATTGTTCGACTAAAATAATAATAACGATGACAACAACATCGGATATAATTCCCAGATATTGTTTCACAATATACAGCCATTTACTAACATTTAACGACTGATAACTCGTTGGATATTCTTCTCCCCTCTCCTTTGAACTACATTATAATAATGTTCGACTAACTGCAATACACACTACTAATCATAACACTAAGTGTAATATAATAAAACCAAGAGGAAATTCGTCCTCTATATCACCCCCTGCCTCCTCAAAAAAAAACAAAATCAAATGCGAAAATGACATTAAAGATTCCCATTGTGAAAATTAGATCAACGGTACGCACATAATTTTTCCAATATTGAACTAGATGCAATACAGCTAGAAGTTTTATCTCTGGGGCCTAAATTCTGTGATAATGGGCATAGAATCAACCAATTAGACACTGATGTACAATTTGAGAATTTATTTTCACAAACAATTGACTTGATTCCTACCTCATTGGAGAATCTTGCTCGGTTTAAGACCACATTGGTTGATAGCTGTCAACAATACAAGAATAGTAAGTGTACCACAAATCACCTACCAACCAAGCAGCACCGAGACTCTTTAACGAAACTAAGAAAAGATGAAACCCTGATCATCAGCAAACCAGATAAAGGAGGAGGTATAGTTCTCATGAGCAAAAAGGATTACATGAACAAATGGAAACAATGCTTAGTCATCCTAGCAAATTTTAGAAAGTTACTAGTAATTGTGACATCAATAATAAAGGAGAAAGACAATTGGTTAATTTCCTTAAGCTTCTAAACAAAAAGAGAATAATTACCACTGAGATTCATGATTCAATTAAGCCGACTGAATCATTTACACCACGACTGTATGGTTAGCCTACAGTTCATAGAGCGGGTCTTCCTCTACGTCCAGTTCTAGATATGTACAATTCTCCTTACCACAAAATTGCAAGGTGGATAATGCGAATCAATTTTCTTAATAGTCTCATTGAGAGGTCCATTTTCTGGCTTGGCTAGAAAGAGATCAGCTAAAATCGGGCCTAGAGGTGAGCCAATGCCTATCCGTTCTATTTGTCTAAATCAGGATTGTTGAAGACAAAATGGACATTCAGCGTGCATCTTAGGAGCAGTTCCTTTAGGCTATCATCAGGCAAGCCAATGTTGATTTGTTTTTCTGATATTTACTTACATATAAACTCAATAGTCTTTATAAGTGGTACGTCGGTGAACAAACATCCTACATCCAATGAGATCATATTTTCCATACTGACATTAAAATTCTCCACTTTGGAGGTGAAGTCGAAGACATATTTTACACTATTTCTAACAACTGATTTGTGCAATGGCTCTAAGATTCGCACTATCCACTTTGCAATTTTGTGGTAAGGAGAATTGTACATATCTAGAACTGGGCGTAGAGGACGACCCGCTGTATGAACTTTAGGCAAACCATAGAATCGTGGTATAAATGATTCAGTCGGCTTAATTGAATCATGAATCTCAGTCGTATTTATTCTCTTTTTGTTTAGAAGCTTAAGCAAATTAACCAATTGTCTTTCTCCTTTATTATTGATGTCACAATTACTAGTAACTTTCTAAAATTTGCTAGGATGACTAAGCATTGTTTCCATTTGTTCATGTAATCCTTTTTGCTCATGAGAACTATACCTCCTCCTTTATCTGGTTTGCTGATGATCAGGGTTTCATCTTTTCTTAGTTTCGTTAAAGAGTCTCGGTGCTGCTTGGTTGGTAGGTGATTTGTGGTACACTTACTATTCTTGTATTGTTGACAGCTATCAACCAATGTGGTCTTAAACCGAGCAAGATTCTCCAATGAGGTAGGGATCAAGTCAGTTGTTTGTGAAAATAAATTCTCAAATTGTACATCAGTGTCTAATTGGTTGATTCTATGCCCATTATCACAGAATATAGGCCCCAGAGATAAAACTTCTAGCTGTATTGCATCTAGTTCAATATTGGAAAAATTATGTACGTACCGTTTCGGGTCGAAAGGAAACTCCTTTTCTGGCTTTTAGTTTTCCAAAGTTTTCAGTAGTTTTGTCAACTATTTCTCAGATCTGTTCTTGCACATTCTTTTCCACATAATCCATAAACATTGACTGGAGCTCTGAAGGCCGGTTTTTTCACAGAATATTATCTCTGAAGAAGATTCCTTTCTAAGTCGCAGATATTCATTTCTATAGTATCAATTTGATTCGATACATGTCTTGTTCGCTTATATGTGTTGTTCTAATTTTCACAATGTGAATGTTTAATGTTATTTTCGCATTTGATTTTCTTTTTTTCTTGAGGGGTGCAGTGGGTGAGATAGAGGACAAATTTCCTCTTGGTTTTATTATATTACACTTAGTGTTATGATTAGTAGTGTGTATTGCAGTTAGTCGAACATTATTATGATGTAGTTCAAAGGAGAGGGGAGAAGAATATCCAACGAGTTATCAGTCGTTAAATGTTAGTAAATGGCTGTATATTGTGAAACAATATCTGGGAATTATATCCGATGTTGTTGTCATCGTTATTATTATTTTAGTCGAACAATTGACTTTTGTCCAGTTGCATGATTTCATGAATATTCTATGTAATGTCAGTGAAACTATGAGTAAAGTTGGTATATAATATCGACTTTTTCATTTCATTTTATTTGAACACATATATATTGGTACAGGAGTGCGCCAAATATATATGCGCCACACTATTTCAGTTCATTAATTGCGTGTGGGCTGCGATACTGCCCGGGTGCCCAGATCGAAGCAGGTGGTTATCTTAAAGGGCCACACCCCGAGCCTTTGACCTAAAGGTCTAACCCACAAGGCAGTGGAGCATCGTAAGGGGATGCAGTTCCATGGTAGCCTGTGACCGAAAATTGGTTCATACGCCATTTGTTCCCGCAGGATACTGGTGCCCTTGTGCAACATAGATTTGGAATCCGGTTAAAGCGCCGGACATTCGCTTTTCTTCCTCTCATTTTCGTAAACAACGCCTCCGCCAAGAGAAGGCAATGAGTAGGACTTCCCTGGCAGAGGCTTTATACGCGCGGCCGTGTGAGGGTATTTCGAGAGGGAGAGCGGACTCTCCCCACTCTCGGCCGTACCAGGGCATTTGGGGGGCAAAAATGCCGTGCGCCGGCCGGCTGGAGTCGTAAGGTGTCCAAGAAATATTGGTAGAGTATTATTCCAGATAATCGAAACGAAGAATGAATGATCAACACGAAATTCTACCTCAGATTCGGAAGATTCAGAGTCACATCCATCGAGCATATAAAACGTTGCTGCTGCAGCTACGACACCTTCCTCATCAATCTGTACAGAATGATAAAAGAAGTCAACAAAAATCAAACTGAAAGTAAACTGACGCATGTTACACTCAGACAGAAGTTGTTTTATTCAATACTTTATGTTTGATCGAGTATGAAATTCCTGGCGAAAAATAATGTAGCACTTCAAGAAAAGCTAATTTCAGCTCATTGATTATATGCTTTAATTATTTCCATTAGTTATTTGTTTGACCTCCGACAAAGTCATTTTGATGTACACAGTCCAAACTCCAAAGACAGAATGGAACACTATTGCTTAAACATGAACTAAAATAGCTATTAATAAATACTGTCTCCGTAGAAGAGGACACATGTTTAAAGGCGTTTCCGTCAAAGAACCCCAATGAAACATCGGATACAAAACAACACCATCAAATTTCAAAATTTATCTCATAACTTAAATCGAATAGCTCTGAAGATAACAAGAACCAAAGTTGAAATATCAAAACCATGCTTGAGTTTCATTAATTCTGACTTCCCAGTTGAAGGAAGACTTATGACGCCTCATAGTGAAAACCGGGATTCTTCGGAAGTCACAAGGCCAATGCCCCTCCTAACAACCAGAACAATTTTTCGGTACATGGAATGTTCGAACAATTTGAGAGACCAGGAGGACCAGTCAAGTAGCAACGGAAGTAGGGAGATACAACATAACAGTGCTCAGAATAATCGAAACCCATTAGACCCAAGCTGGACAGAAAAGGCTAAATACAGGAGAGATACTGCTGTATTCAGGTCACGAATAAGAAGATGCTCCACACACTCAGGGAGTTGTTCTGATGCTGTTCAAAGAAGCACGAAATGCACTTATAGGATGGAAATCTCATGGCCCTAGGATCATCAAAGCATCCTTCAAAACAAAGGAGGGAATCACAATCAATGTTATCCAATGTTATGCACCCAACAATGATAGCAGTGATGACGATAAAGACCAGTTCTACGAGAGGCTGCAGTCGATCATAGCGAAGTGTTTAGACAAGAACCTGACCATCCCGATGTGAGATCTAAACGCCAAAGTCGGAATGGACAACAACGGTTATGGAGATATAATGGGACAAAATGGACTAGGAGAAAAGAAGGAAAATGAGGAGAGATTTGCAAACTTATGTGCATTCAACAAACTGGCTATAGGCGGACAATATTCCCACACAAAGCTACATGAGTCTCACCGGGCGGAACACTACGAGGAACTCTTGAATAGATCAGCTCCATTGAATCCACCGGATATCGAAGCAACACACAGACCATCCTATAGATGTCATTCCACCAACGATCGAAGAAATCAGGATAGTCATTAGGAAAATCGAGAGGGTAAAGCAGCAGGACCTAACAATATACCAGTTGAAGCACTAAAGTCAGATACAGAAGTAACTGCAGACACGCTTTACACTCTATTCAGCAAGATTTGGAGGGGAGAATAAGTGCCGATGGACTGGAAAGAAACATACCTCATCAAAATATCAAAGAAAGGAGATTAGAGCAAATGTGAGAACTACACAAGCACATTATGGAGTACCTGACAACATCGTCAACATCATCCAGAATTCGTACGACAGAATACACTGCAATGTCGTGTATGGAGGAAGGCTGACAGACTTCCCTGGCAGAGGCTGTATACGCGCGGCCGTGTGAGAGTATTTCGAGAGGGAGGGCGAACCCACCCCGCTCTCGGCCATACCAGGGCATTTGGGGGCATACAATATATATATATATATATATATATATATATATATATATATATATATATATATATATATATATATATAATATCGATATAAATAGATGAAAACAGTTAGTTTAGCACAATTGAATGTCCTTTACCAAAAGTGTCATCATTATCAAGTGATGAAATGAACAAGATGAATGAAAAATTCTCGTGTATTGATCGTTTGATTCTTCCCATTGGTTTGTAACACTGAAATTAATAAGTCTTCTTTGATATGTGAAACCGGTGTGGATTACCTTGATATTGCCGTTAAACCCTACAGATTATAAACAGAGATGGATAGTGGGTAGTGATGGGATGTTGGATGCGTGGTTCATCCTATTTGAGACTGGTCGTTTGGATATACATGCAAGCAACTAATACAAATTAATTAAACTTTAACCCCATTGTACAAGTCGTTGGTTATCTGGACTTAGTAATTAAGTGAATAATATAATAGATCCGAAGTAAACACCAAGCTTGAGATGCACATCCATCTAGCTGACGAGTCTCATATACATCAAAACATGCATCGTTGATTATATTGTTGCCAATATCCATCTCTGCCTATAATCAGCAAATGATTCGAAATAACATTAATGATAACTTTCATGATATTTGATAGATGATTCCGTTTAAAAATATCCAGTATATGGACATAATTATTATTTATTAGATTTTCCATTCACAGTGTATTTTGTTTTCATAATGAGGAGAGGTCAATGGTTCATATTGCTCATTTTCTAAGCTTGAAAATGCCACGGGTATTCAGTGTTTGACATCGCTTTAACCAGTAACACCTTCTAATATGAAGCGTACCCAACAAGTGAAATCAAAAGACAGACACGAGGAGTTTCGAAGATATATTTAATAGACTATCAATATATCGTGAATCGACTGATCTAATCTGACTAGCGATTGCAGTAGATGTTGAGCACAGCGTTCCCACTCGTGATCTGGTGCGGATGCATGACCGAGCGCCTTCAGCTAGGTGAGTCCATTAAAACATGTGGTCAGCATCCAATATCGAAAACTTACTGAGCTACTTATTTTGGAGATTTATTTACCGCTACAAGCTGTCTAGCTTGTGTAAAACTTTGTTCGATTTACTTTCATTTTAAGAATAATGAGTTTTGATAACAATATTGTAGTGAACCAGAACACAAACTGGGGGATAATCCAATGTGTTTCAATACAAAATGACACAGAATCTCTTTGTAAAATCTGAGAAAACCATACAGTGAATACTTCATTTGTAAAATGTCAATCAATTGTCTCAAACTTGATTGTTTCTTCTTCGTTTCCACACCAATTACTCTGTGTTCTTGTTATGGTTTTATGTCCGGCTTTTTATCACGTGATTTATCCATCAATCAAAATACGATTTATACAATCTTAGCACTGTGCCAAACCAATAACGTTCGACTGGCATGAGCAGCCTAGAGTATTTATTGGTCCTATGTCCTCCTAGTTCGTCCACTTCAATCCAGAACACCAATACCAGCTTCTGCAATATGAATCATTTATTTCAAACATATTCGGTTATTATATACATCAACCAAACAGACCACAACGTACCATAAAATAGAAAGTAACATTTGTACACAATGAAGCGAAAAAGTGGTTGTGAAGGTGGGCGGCAGTAGTTAATAAACTGAGCATAATTTAGCGATAGCAAATTGTATAATAATAAACTATAGGTCAAATTGAAGCTTATGATAAGAGGAATATAAATACACATAATCCAACTATTGAATAATAATAATACCATAAGAATATATAGATGATATTAGTCAATTAATTGGTCTCAGAAGTTACTCGTGATTTAATCTTTGCTCGGATATAACAGTTCTCGTCCTCTTCTAATCGATCTTATTAAATTTCTGCCTTCAGCCATTTCACTTTCGATTGGTCATACATACATGTTACACTTGAAATGTCTATTATAGGTAACCACATATGTTGTTATATATGTATTTAGACATAATGAATGGATCCATATATGCAATTGACAACCATATCAGTACTTCTTACGTAACACATTTCAAGTTTTCTTTCCCCAAATTATGTTTTCAGATTGTTTCAAAATAAAATTTCTCAATTTATTTTTATCATTAATGATCATTATATTAATCACATAGAGTATAATCTATGTCATTACTCCTAATCCTACTACTCATTGGATAGATGATCCATTGACTAAAAATAGTTCCTCGGTAAGTTCAATTCATCATATAAAAGTGATAATTTGGTAATAGGGTTTTGTTCTCCATTTGGTTATATTGATAATGATATGGCCTCATTGGTCTATAGGTTAAGAGTCCGCCCATATGAAATCGAAGGTTTTGGATTGAAGTCACGTGTGCATGATCGTGGATGAACTGTTGAGAAATTCCATGCTATTACAGAACGGCTATCGAGGTCTTCCAGTTTCTCCAACGTGGTCTACATTTAATCAACTATTCAATCATTAAAAATTACAAACTGAAACATCCGTAACAATACATTTGTTTGAGGACTCTCCGTTCAAATTGTTTGTGCACAAACGTTTATGCACAAATGAATTGCAAACTGTTTATTATATGAGAGGAAAACGTTTATGCTCTACTGGTTACTCCTGTATATGCCTATCACTTAAACTTATACACAACTATTATTACTGTATGACTTCAGTAAACTTATCACTTCATATCGGAGCTTTGTTTAGGAAGGTTCAGAAGAACGTGACTATGAATTGTGTTTGTCGAATATTTCATTATTTGTATTTACTCAACCGTGACACTGGTTTGGTACATTTTATTCTATGGAATGTCCTATGGAATCTTTTCAAAGATTTCTATATGAATCACATGATTTTCAGTGAAAAGATATTTCTCTCTCTAATGTTATTAATCTAAGCTGTAAAGCCGAATTTGAAGTTTGTTTTACATGTGACAGTTTATAGTAGTATAATAAGGGAGTATTGTGTCATGAAACAGAGTTATCAAAGGTAACTGAAACTTATATTGGAGTCGCATCGTCTAAGTTCGACAGCTTAACTAAGAATCTTCCAGTGTTATCCTAGACGACAACGTCAGTGCCTAGTTCACCAAAAAATGAGTGTCACACTCATCCGATTAGTGGGACATGAGCTCGTTATTTGCTAGATGATCACATATAATAACCTATCATTTAACAAATTAATCGAAGATAATTCGATGTTTTTAAATTGTAAATGTTAGTTACCTAAAGGTAATATAGGCAAAAGATGTTTGTCTAATTTATAAGTATATTGGAGGCGAACAGTAACACCACTGATGTGTAGACTGATACGTAAACTGGAGTAAAAAAATCTCTTTCATTTACTAACCCTCAGGTACATCAGTATTCATGCGAATAAAACACCTTTCAGTTGTGTTGATAAAGTTATGGTTTGTTTGTTTATAGAAATCAGGCTTATATTGTAATATTGAACAGATTTATAGAAAGCTACATTCTTCACCACACTCAGCTTATTACTTTGTCCACAAAACAGAACATTTGTTTTACTCAATGTATATTCTCTAAACATAATCTTCAACAAGCTTTATAAGCAAAGATAGTGGATAGTGGCTAGCAGGTGAATTGAAGACGCGCATTTTATCCTATTTGAGACTTGTCAATTGGATGTACCTTCAACAAGATACTGATCAAATCCAGTCCTACATTACAATGTGTAGATACAAGTAAACCAACAACAAGTGAATATAATGTTCAACATTTCATGACATTCTCTGATTATCCCTTCAAAAATTTGATTTTGATTCGTTGTTTCAATTTGAGTATTGAGCGAGGTGTGTGGTGTGTGGTGTGTGGTGGGGGTGGGATCACTGTAATTATTATTACAAAATGTTTTGACCAACTACTTAAATAGCTTCATCAGTGTAATTTTTTTCTGTTTTAGGAAAAGAAAATTCACATTGTGATCTTATTTGATGGTGATCGAGGTCTACAATATTTGAATAGTCTTCTGAAATCTATTTTCTATCATCAAAATGGAAGATTTCGATGTGATTTAAAAGCTTGTTGTCTATCAAACTTTTGTGATCGATTTATGAATGATTGTCAAACTGTTATGAACAATGTATCAACAACATATACAACTGTATTTCATTTCTTAATAACGTCGATTTCATCAAATGGTCAGTTGTTGAATTTGATGAATACATGGAAATTACATAATATGGAATATCATTTCTACAGTTGTGGTAATCAATTGGTAAGTGTTCACATGCATTATAACTAACTGTGTTACGTCACTGTACAAACGTTATATTACATCAGTATTGATTTGATGAAAATACTCTCAGTGTTTTATTACAATGATTCCAATAATATCAGTACAGAGTTTTATGGAGATGGCACTATTTATAGTTTAAATTACAAATTGATATTAGTCGAACAACCATCAAAAAGCTAACGGGGCTCGATGACCATCTTGTCTTGGTAAAGCATTTCAAGGCCTCAACTCATGTGTCTTATCCAAGACCTCCAACCTCGCACATGGTTGCCTAACCACTAGGCCACTGAACTGGCCACCAACAGAATTAAAATCTTACTTTGGTTAATTCACGAGATTGCGCAAATCTCATTCTTTGGCTGGAGTAGTTATCTGCCTCATACCTGACTCGATTATACTCCACTGGTTACGGATTCTCACCAGAACTCCAGAAGTTTCCTGTTGAAGCTTTTCACTAACAATTACATGAATAGTGTCACTGTGAGATTGTGGCGAATGTTGTGTCACTAGTGGGACGACAGTGGAGTTCAATCGTGTCACGTATGAGAAAGGCACCTAACGAAGACAATAGATGATGATTTCACAATATCCTATTTTGACTGAAGTTAGCATGAACATATTTGTACGTCCACTTATTAGTGTAGAGGTCGAGCGTTCTCTAGCGAGATCCGAGTTCTTGCGTCGGATTTCGGATACGGTGTTGTGATGCACACTGCTGAAATCCCATACTTGGATGAAACGGCCGTCCAGTGCTTCCAAGTTTTCAATGGTTCTCTATCTTAGATCGGCTTGTGATTTCGATGTACTATGGTTACTTACTTAAATCTGTGTGATTCTTTGTAGGCAAATTTGCGGTGGATCGAATCTAAACATAATTCAGGAGCTAAACCATTTTTAAAATTGATGATTTTAGAAATTCTTTCATTTACAATCAATAAAGTAAGTCACAGTTCTGCATCTTTTCTCAGTAAGTTTCATAACATATTATCATCAACGTTTTCTGTATAAGTAGACTACAATAAACTAGCGTCGATAGAAAAGCTATCTCAAAGTCAACATCAAAGTAGATCAAAGTTGGATAAATGGATATGAATACGTTATCAATATCATGTGATATTTCAGATCCCTATAGCTTCTACGTTATGTAAGAGTTGGGATCGAACCCCCCTCACAAGTCAAGTAAGTATACAACGGAACACGGCCAAATGCCCATTGGCAACTAGGTAGAGATGGATGGTGACTGGCAGTGGAATCCAATTCGCGAGATTTGGCATTCGTCAACTGGATGTACCGACATCAATAATGAACACAACCTTACACCGAGTTATTCCTTTATGAGAGTTATCCAAAGAAGTTTACAACTGATGGATGATATTGCATTTTTCATGTTAAATTACCTAACACTCAATCAGTTAGTATGTCACGATGAATAGTACACTTGTCTGAAGTGGTACAAACACTTTAAAATATCTCCAGATGTCACGTAAGTCGCTTTGACTAGTCAATACCTTGTAGAAACTTCCAAGACAATTGTAGAAAACTACTAATTATGCCCTCCAATTCTTGATTGTATAGTATGAGAGATGGTTATCAATTTTGGTATGTTTTCCTGAAGTGTTGTAGTGAAGTGACTACTACAGTCCTATGTGTAACACATAGGACTATTTTACTGATTATTATTCTTATGTTTATTATATACTCAACTGTTAACTGTATTAAAGTATTTCTATCGTTTTACATTTTACTATCATCCTTCATTCTTGCTAATCAATTACATACTAATTGTATGCTACTTATAACATGATAGTATACAAAGTACGATTTCCTATTTGAGATCCATGAATATCCAATAAGCTAATAAATATTTGAGATAACTGCTGGATTGTTGAGGTATAAAACTAGAAACTTAGCTACAGTCTGATATTTCTTGACTGAACGTTGGAAATTGACAGATCAATGGGAGTTTAGCTTAAGTTCGCCTCGCGTCATGGTTAATCGTGTTGATTCACAACGCAATATTAACATAACACATTTAAACTGTCAGCTTTACTTAGTGTTATAACTACCCTCAAATATCGACGGTTTAAGAGTGGAAGTTTTCACGTAAGTCGGTATCTAGAATCAAACGTTCAATCAGGTAGCATTTAAAGTTTTTAACCTTCAATCAATATTTAGCATGGCTACATTAGGCTCCATTCATTTCAACTTCATATAATCAATGGATAACTGGAAGATGAGTACACAAACCAGTACTTATTATTGACTAGATTAAAATGATAATATGTTACAGGAGTATATAATTAATGGGTAATTTGTTTCTACACTCTTGTACCTTTCCCTTTATAGGTAATTATACTAGACATTGATATACTACCTAATACAGATATTATTGAATTATGGAATCATTTTGATTATTTTAAAGAAACTCAGGTTTGTTTTCTCAAATAATTGTTCATGTTATGATTGATTAAATGTTGATATTCGATGTAAAGCAAGCACATAACAATTTCACTGATTGAAATCATGATTCAATTGAATCTAGACAACCATGGACAACCTCGAAGCACTGGACGGCCGTCTCATCCCATCGCGGCCTCCCCAGCAGAGCGTATCCACAACCCCACCTCGCGGGGTTCGAACTAAGGACCTGTCAGTCTCGCGCCAGGCGTCTAACCAACTAGACCACTGAGCTGGCCGGCATCCAACGGTGTTAATCTCCCACTCAAACCAATCCACGAAGTTGTGCCACCGTACACCATTGTCTTCAGTGAGTTGATATCTCACAACAGACCCGGTTGAACTCCACTGGTAACGGCTTCTCACTAGAACTCCAGTAGTATCTCTTGAAGTCAGTCACTAATAGTGAGCAGATGATTATCATCAGAAGGGGTTTTGTGGGAATTTCACTGATTGAAATCATAAGTGCTTCCAGGTGTTTGCATGGTGGTCTAGCTTCAATTGACTCATGATTTCAATCAGTGAAATTTCTAAAATCTTCACTAAACCCTTTCTCACATAGCAGTTTGTAATTGATCACCCAACATATCTTGATATCAAAGTGTAGAGTTTCAGCTTAGTCGAATCTATATTTTATGTAACTTACTTGATAATTATAGAGAAATAGATGACTGAGTGTTCATCACATTGTTCCCATTGAACTATCAACTCATGACAATCCAAACACTATCATTATTATCAGTTCAATTGCATGAATATGAATGGAATGATTTCATTATGAATTATTTGAAGATCCAACAGTATGGATTGTGAATACTCAGATTGTCTTCAATGAAACATTTAAATGAGACAGTCATTTATGATATGATTTTTTAAATCTGACTATCAGAGGCGCCTATTAGCATCATGAATAGGCTTTACTTAATGAATTCTTAAGTATGGTAAAATATAGAATTCTCAGCACACTGTATTTCAACAAGTTTCCATTTCTTACTTCTTGAATGATCCGAAAGATGAATATTGAGTGATCTACAGTTAAAAGTTAGCAGTTCAGTCAATCGACATCTAAATAATGTACATTCTTGTCGCTGCATATTGTCAGCAACCATGATATTACTGATCAGGTCATTCATAACCTGTACAACGAAGGGTTGTAAACTCTTCAGAAAGTCACCTGAAAATGTTATGTGAGTGATAGACATAACAACAGAATTAGATGACTTGTTGAAATATGATGATGGCAGGAACAGGTAGCCCAGATGTTGAAGCAGGCCGCCAGTTTATCATGATCATGATAAGAAAGATTTTTAAAGGAGTAGTTTTAGTCATGGACTGATATGATTGTAATAAAATCAACGGGCGCAAGTTCTCGCACAATCATTCATCATAATGTTTGAAATATTGAAATTATTGTAGAATATAAATTTAATCAATCATTGTTATGTTAGATTATACACTACTAGATATTCTGTATTAGTGGTGTACTGCTTGAAATCAAACATTTAGCTTTGATGGATTTATGATTTGAATGAAATGCAGGTTGGCCTAGTGATTGAAGAGACGTAAAACAAACCAAAACATTATCTCCTCATCAGGATTCTTAGGATATGCGAAGTTCACTTACGGAAAAATCAAGAAAATCGGGGGAAACGCATGATCATAAACAATCAGAATACATTGTCACCTCAGGTTACCATTCACTGTTGACGTAATTCAATACAACTATACACATGTTTCGTGATTACCAAGGTTTTTTGACTATAACTACGTTTACACGGCGTGATTTGAGATAATCAAGTGTTAAGCATGTACACACTGCATCAATCTTCAATCAGTCAGTCAGTCGGTCAGTCAGCTACAACGTAGGATCAGGCACATGTATGTATCGGTCTTAGTTGCCATACCTCATTAACACAGGAAGATGAACACCGGACTCATAGTAGTTAATTCAATGGTGGAAGTATATGAAAGAAAGATTGAATATAATGATATAGTTCAGGAAGGAAGGAAGAAAGATATGAAGCGATTTTAATCTCATATTTTAAGAGGAGATGTAGAGTGTATACACCTACGCCATTGTGATCAATTCTGAGCCATGACACACAGTCTCCAACCATTGGTTTCGATAGTCACACGCAACACAACCAAGTAGTCTGCATCTATCATCATGGCTAATGATAGAAGTTAGTGATTTCAAGGTGTGATGCTATGTTTTGGTTTGACAACCCCTAACTTTCTTCCAGCCATCCCCAACCACATCATTTCTACTGTAGAACATAATTCCATAGTAATGAATTAAAGAAATAATAGTCAAATGAACGGGTGTTAAATGATGTAACTAATTCATAATGTTGAATTTGTGATACTTATTACCTATTAAGTTGAACGCTGACTGTGTCAAGCAATGAATCAGCTAATAAAGCCAGAGATATCATTGATAATTTGGTTCTAGCTCAGCCGTCTGAAATAAATATCTGAAATGTATGTTTAATTTTGACATTTAGTCATTGGTGAGTATTCCTGACGTAATACTGGTCAGTGTTCTACATTCTTCATTAATTTCACAGTTGATTTCAAATTGAGACTAAACTTTCAACTTCAGCTAGACAATGTTTTGTGTGTTTCAAGTTTACTGAAAGATAATTTCTGATGATCGTTTCAAATTTATACTTCTGATGGCTTACAAATCTTCATGTCTTTGTATTTTTCAAAGAGCATGAGTATTGGATTAGAACGAAATCCACATTTTCAAAAAGTTATGACCAAATTAGAAAGCAATTGGAAAGTAAGTTTAAACATTTTGATACATCATTACATTTGCAATGATTTACACTTTGTATATCATTGTCCTGTTCATGAACAATTGCACTGAGACTATAATTATTGGACCAACTGTGAGCGACTCTGAATTGACTTAGAGACAGCTCACCTACTTGTTTAATGTGGTTGGCGTTCTTTTAGCGAGAATTTTTCTACGGGATTGGGTGTCTGAGCTTATACCCAACCCTCCACTTTTACCCGGGCTTGGAACCAGCACTAACTCTAGAAGAGCTACAGGAGGAGTTAGCTCACCTACTTCAAAGTGTCAAAATGAGGTTATAAATTAATGTGATGTGTTACGATTCGGATGTCGAGTTAGAATTTAGGGTTAGGAATGAAAATGAGGATTTTCATCACGATCTGCAATCAGCAATAATGCCAAAATGCTATTTAACTCTATGGATGAATTGATTTCGCGCGACAATCCAAGACATGCTATCCTCAATTTCATTGGTTCGCCGATAAATTATATTCTCGCACTATCTGCTTTTTATCAAGCAATAATCGTTTAAAGCTAATTGCATCTCCCTTATTTATATCAGATTACAGTCATGGATGTAGATGATTGATTTCAGAACTTGTGAAAACTTTGTTTGTTTTGTAGTGACGTTTGAATTGTGTCCATCAAGTTGAAATGTACTTACTAGCCTATTAAACAAGTATATGTGTGATCAGACTGTTCGAAATGTATTGCGCAAATATATCACATAATTCTGATAAACTACGTCTTCTCATTGCATTATCGAAATTTATCAAAGGGACTAATTGTTTTAAACTTTGATTGACAAAAACATCCTGGAAATGAGTTTTGCGTAATTCAGTACTTGTAAACTGGAAGGTATATGCAGAATCTTGAGGAATTATGATTATCTCAGTGAGATGCGTAGTCACCTCCTAGTTTAGATTATTAAGGGACTGTTATAATACATAATCAAACGTTCTAAATAGCTCTTATACTGAATGCCAATAGGCTAATTCCATAGCTGCATACACAGATCATCAACTTCTGTACAATCAACTTTATTTCGTCTGTGCAAAGTATGATGGGTCGTATGCATAATCTTTATTTTAGGATTATGGATATAATAACGGTATTCTGTTACTTCATTTGTCTAAATTACGATCAACCAATTGGAATCATCTATGGTTGAGCATAACTAGAAGAGCTATTAAACGTCAAGGTTACTTAATCACTGATCAACAGGTAAGTTCAAACTTCTTACATATTCATTATAACTACTTTTAATGACTGCCAATACCTATATAAAGATACCGATTTGCAAATTTCTACCAAACACACGGTTCTAAGGTATATACAATCTCACCATTAGAAAGTTGGTTCTAGTATAATTAGTGCTTCCTCATGAGAACAAGGAGACTTTTATTATTATGTATTACCATACTTAACTAAATAGAAAACAGAGAGCTTTAAACTCATCAATTTCATGTACAGTAATTCATCTGTTTTAAAATATAAACATCAAATACAATATGTATTCATAAAACTCATTTAAAGTTATTGTGTAATGGGTAGGCTTATATTATGTTAAGGGATGTGAGCGACTCCTCAAATTGTACATTCCTCATTTTCACACAGTCTGAAGAAAGGTATGTATTCCAGTTGTCCCTATAGAATCTTATCATTATTTGAACATACTTCCTTACGGGTAGAATGCAACTACATTTTACAAGCCTCTCAAAGTGATCATTCTGAAATCTATCATTATATTTGAGGGAAACATACTACACATGATCATATAAAATGATTTAAGATTCTGACTTTTAGTGTTTCTTTCTATCTTTATTGCATTCAAACGCTTTAACCGTGATTCACGGTGTTAAGTCTGTATTACGTTCTCTGTCATTACTAGACACCCTTCAATTATTTTGCATATTGTTTATACTACTTAATAATATTCAGTAGGTAGTTGTATTTCCATCAATTTCTACGCATATGCGATGAAAATGATCTTGGTGGTCTAGTAATAGTATTCCGACACAAGACAGTGAATAGTTTTGAGAGTTCTTTAAGCCCTAACGCTTCAGGCTGAGCTATTTTGTTTACTACCCTACATATGTGTTGTATGCAGTATAAGAAGTAGTGCTATGTAGAGCGGAAGTTCTCATATGAGACTGGAGGTTCGCCATTGATATTGTGGATGATTTGGCAAGTTTTGCTGACTGTTCATGCAAAAAATTGGTTTGCTGGTTAACCGATTTCATTTATACACAGATGCAGTAATTTACTCAAAGAAATATACCATCTGTATAATGAAAGTAGGCTTGTTGCTACTATGTTAAACTTAGCAGTGACTCACTCATAAAGATATTTGGCAAAAAACAGTGGTTGAGAGTTGTACTATTTTCAGTTATAACTTATGTTGTAGCTATTGACCTAGAGTTCACCTACTGAAACCATAGCGAGCGTTGAAACTTTTCATCCGGGCAATGATAATCTCTCAGCTTGACAAGTACCGCATTTCACTACTCCTATCCTGGAAGTTCATCAACCTTAATTCGTAGTTACAATATAACAGTTCTAGGGCTCCAAACGCCTAACTAGTAACTTCTTATTACCTTAATCGTTACGATTCAATCAGTAGTGAGAAGGACTTGATATACTCGATATTGGTTACAATTATACTCTTCTGATCAGTGCCAAATTGCACAAAATCTTGAACACCAGTATCCAGTCAACAATCTCCAACTATCACCTTACATTTGAACTTAGTTTACGCGATGTCAAGTCACTAGATTTTTAGAGTCCACATTGCCACTTGGTCAATGGAATACTATCAGGATGTATGAGAAGAGAATTAAGATTTATATTTCATCAGTGGAGTCAAATACATCTATATCCAGTTACAGCGTTCACCTTAATCTTATAACCCTCTTCCATACAATCCACTCTTCATCAGTTCTTATTCATTTTACATTTAAGACAACGTTGTTTTAAGAACAAATAAACTTTCTTATAAAACAGTAATGAACATGACTAATCATAAAGTAGAAACGTTGGACAAAATGGAAGTAGAATTCATACAAGTCAATCATCCAAAATCACACTATTTTTGTTTCTTCTTTATGAGAATTAACTTCAACAGTATACAAGTTCATGCATGACACATTTGGGGTCACAATCTTCTGTAAAGTACAGTCGATTGATTATGGAAATAGAATTAACTGTTCGTTACTATTGAACTTTATGATTGTCATATTGACCAGATGCCAAAATATTGCTCTAACACATAAATAAACGAATTCACTATTGTGTTGTATTAATTTTATATAAATTAATTGTGATTATTTATGTAAATAAGGGTGAACATTGCTGCTCTGTCGTTAAAATATAAATACAATGATTACTGGATACTATCACATAACATTAACAATGAGCAATTAGATTTGGAAGAACTGTAGCACACCAATATTGTACATCATTTCCATGATATTCGAGCAATGGTCAAAGAATTCTTTATAATTTAGACAGCTGTGTAGCGGTAAATAAATCTTTAAGTTCAGTAGCTCTGTAAGTCTTCGACATTTGATGCTGACCACATTAGTTTTAATGGACTCACCTAGCTGAAGGTGTTCAGTCACACATCCGCACCACATCACGAGTGTGAACGCTGTGCTCAACTTCTCCTGCAACCGCTAGCCAGTGTTGATCAGTCCCTTCTCCATATATTGACAAGCTATCTAATTTATCTTCGAATCTCCTAGCTTCAGACTATTGATTTCACTGGATGGACACGATTCAATTACAGAAGGTATTACTGGTTAAAATGTTGTCAAACCACAAATACCTGTGGCATCATCAGCTGTATCACAATTGTCTAACTTAGCTGATACTTAGATTCTTAAACATAAACTCTATCAAGCAAAACTATAGTTTTTTCGTTTCGATGTGAGGGGAAGCGATTGCAGGAAATATTAACCCTGTACAATGTTTATTGTGAGACGATGAATGTTGAAATGCTCATTGGTAAATTAATAAATCATCTAAACGAATCATATTATTGTGTGTTGAATATGTAGATTGTACTGAATTGAAAAAAACCTCCTGACAAACATCTCCATCAAGCAGATTGTCACGATTTATTAAGAGTCGTTTTGTGATTGCTAACATCTCAAAAACATTACAATAACGACAAACTATCTTACATTTACAATAATCCACAACTATTTGGTGCAAATGACAATGATTACACAGTTTTGAAGTGAAATTATGTCAGTCAGTCAGCTACAACGTAGGACCAGGCACATATATGCGTCGGTACAAGTTGCCACACCTCATTAGCACAACAAAATTAACACCGAATTCACAGAAGTAGTTACTTCACTGGTAGTAATATATAAAAAACGATTGTATATAAGGATATGATGCGGGGAGAAGGAATTAGTTCATAGAAAGTAAGTAATCTCAAGGTTTAAGTGAAGGCAGAGAGTGTATACACCGACGCCATTGTGATCGGTTGTGAGCCAAGTCACACTATCTTCGACCATTGGTTACGATAGTCACGCGGAACACAATCAAGTAGTCTGTATCTACCAACATGGCTCAGATTAGAAATTAGTGACTTCAAGCACTGATACCACGTTTTGCTTTGGCGTTTTGTGACTAACACTTAAAAATACTACACACATTGCTTTCTTGATTACAAACTTCAGTTAAATGTCTATGCCGCCGTCGTTGCAGCTAACATCATCACTGTAAAATCATTCAGGCAGAACCTGACGACGTCGAAACAGCTAAGTAACTTACACCAATGAGCCATCAAATAGAAGCAAAGATCATACAACATATTCGTTACGACAACTAGCATTTCAACTTAATGTTCCACAGTTAGCCGAAGATAATGCAAAAGCATGTTTAAAGGAATACACATAAGAATACGTTTGTCAGAACACTGATTAAATATAGAGAGCACTTGTGATGGTGTATAGATAAAATTATCACCGTTTTTTTTAAATTATTTTTTATTTATTAGTCAAGGAATAGTGAAGCTCAAAATATGTAGTTTGATATAATTTAGTAAGCACAAAAATAATTGTTCTCGAAGGTTTCTTCGTATACCATACCACACTAGTCATTCACTGGAGTCGTAACGTGTCCCAGAAATATTGGTAGAGTATTATTCCAGATAATCGAAACGAAGAATGAATGATGAACACGAAATTCTACCACAGGTTTGGAAGAATTAAGTGCACATCCAGCGAATATACACAATGTGGCTGCAGCAGCTACGACACCTTCCTCATCAATCTGTACAGAATGATGAAATAAGTCAACAAAAATCAAACTGAAAGTAAACTGACGCATGTTACACTCAGACAGAAGTTGTTTTATTCATTACTTTATGTTTGATCGAGTATGAAATTCTTAGCAAAAAATAATGTAGCACTTCAAGAAAGGCTGATTTCAGCTCATTAATTACATGTTTTAATTATTTCCACTAGTTATTTGTTTGACCTCCGACAAAGTCATTTTGATGTACACAGTCCAAACTCCAAAGACAGAATGGAACACTATTGCTTAAACATGAACTAAAATAGCTATTAATAAATACTGTCTCCGTAGAAGAGGACACATGTTTAAAGGCGTTTCCGTCAAAGAACCCCAATGAAACACCGGATACAAAACAACACCATCAACTTTCAAAATTTATCTCATAATTTAATTCGAATAGCTCTCAAGATAACAAGAACCAAAGTTGAAGTGTCAAAACCATGCTTGAGTTTCATTAATTCATAAATCTTAAAAGCCTGAGGATGATGATGATGATGATACGTATCTAAACAAGCTCTCAACTGCGAATCAAGATATTTTTGACTGTTAGCATCCACCAATTACTCTATGTGACTCACGTTTACACAGAACTACGAAAGTTCATGCTTAAGTGAAAAAACGAATAATCGCTTCAGTTATTCGACTTAATTCGAGTATAGACTTGTGTAAAACATCCGTTACACATAATTCCCTCGAGACGGAAATGTTCGAAAAGTCAGCTGATAGTGGTCTGAATGCGTCCTTTATTCCCAATTCTTCTAAATGATCTTTTAAACTAAATGAATAGCCTTCTTTGAGCTTAAATTTAGGCAGATATAAATTCAATGACGTGTCTTCAAACCTACGGGAGAGTATCGAAGAAATCCCACCATATTCACACATCAAATTCAGTAAGTCTGGCAATCCATCGTTTGAGTTTGGAAGAACAATCAATAACACATATCTAGATCAACAATATTTTGAAAAGAAAGAAACACAGTTCAGCAAACAATGTAATATGTTCAGATATGTATGTGTATTCATTTTAGACAATTTATCCTACTGTGAAACTCCGCATGTAGCTATTCTAGGGCTACTGCCGGTCCCAAGCCATGGTAAATCAGGCGGGTTGGGAATGGCTTCAACAACCTTGCTTAAAAAACGCTAACCAGAATAATTAAATTAAACCATTTAAATACTGACTTCCGAGTTGAAGGAAGGTTTATGACGCATCATAGTGAAAACCGGGATTCTTCGCAAGTCACAAGGCCAATGCCCCTTCTAACAACCAGAACAATTTTGATTGGTACATGGAAAGTTCGAACAATTTGAGGGACCAGGAGGATCAGTCAAATAGCAACGGAAATAGGGAGATATAACATAACAGTGCTCAGAATAATCGGAACCCATTAGACTCAAGCTGGACAGAAAAGGCTAAATACAGGAGAGACACTGAAGGGATGCACGGAATAAAATCGACAAATCGGAATCAATTACAAGATTTGGACTTGGCAGATGACCTGGCCTTTCTATCCCATACACATCAACAAATGAAGGTTAAAACAAATAGTGTAGCTGCAGCCTCTCAATCAGTAGGACTCAACATACACAAGGGTAAAAGCAATATCTTCAGATACAACACAAAGAACACCAACGCAATCACACTTGATGAAGAAACTCTGGAAGGGGTGGAAACATTCACGTATCTGGGTAGCGTCATCGATGAACAAGGACGATCTGATGCAGACTTACGGGCGAGGATTGGCAAAGCAGGAACAGCATCCCTACAGTCGAAGAACACATGAAAGTCAAAACAACTGTCAACCAACATCAAAGTGAGAACCTTCAATACGAACATCAAGATAGTTCTACTGTACGGAGCTGAAGCTTCCAGAACTACCACAACCATCATCAAAATGGTATAAGCATTAATAAACAGCAGTCTATATAAGATGATCAATGTCGTTGGCTGGATACCATCAGCAACAGTATATTGTGGGAGAGGACAAACCAGCTTCCAGCTGAAGAGGAAACTAGGAAGAGTCACTGGAAGTGGATACGACACACACTGAGGAAATTATCAAACTGCGTCACAAGGGAAGAGCTTACTTGGAATCCTGAAGGGAAACGGAAAAGAGGAAGGTCAAATGTTATGACTTTAAGTTGCTGTCGATTTTTACCCTGTGCTAATTGTTGTGTCCTTGACTGGAAAATTAGAGAGCAGTGTACTTATCGATCGGTTACAGTGACACGTAAACACGAACGAACGGCCTACAGTTCTGATTGGTCCTGCTTCCCTGTCCAGCCCAGCCAGTTGAGTCCAGAACACAAGCCACAACCTCTGAGATATGAATCATAATATTTCAAACATACTTTGTTTATATACCAATCAAGCATACCACATCGTACCATAAAATAGAAAACAACATTTTATACAATATACAACAAGTGAACAGATATCGACCAATAGAAAATATCCATTTAAAGTCCAAGGACACCATTGGACTTAACATGATAATTATTAGTCTATTCCTCTGCATCCACAACATCAAAGAACGCACTAAGTCGAAAATTGGAATCACAAATCAGAAGGATCAATAGCAGCTGGAAAAGATTGCCCATGACAGAGTTGGATAGAGAATGATGGTGGGAGGCCTATCCTCCTTCATGAGGAGCAACATGCGTAAGTTGAATATGATGTAAATTATCCATTTATTTTTGACTTCAGTCAGCTTTAGTTAGGTTAGCATTATTTGAAGCTGCATCTCTGTCATTGAGTTGCTCGTAATCCAGTTATCAGACTATGCAATCAAAACACTGCATTCAACAAGATGTAAGCATTAGAACACCATAAGTCCTTCATGGTCAGGTCTAAACAAACATTTTAAAACAGGTACATTAATAATCAAGCTTACTTCGGATCTTTAAACGGTATCTTGATAGCTCGCGATCCCAAATCTGGTAAGATGACCATACTGAAACAGGATAGATTATACATTAACTTCACGTTCATTGTTGATCCGTCAAGTTTGAAGAAATCGCTGTCGTGTGAATCCTCCTTACGGAAATGTGGACCCCATAAACCTGTCAAAGGTAACCACACATAGAGTTGACAGCAGATATAAAACACAGTAATAAAAAAATAAAAACTCAGGTAATAAATGTTTGATTTGAATATACTATTGTTGACGACTAAATAAATAATACTACCTTTAAAGTATGTAGTGGATAGCGCAACAGCTGACGTTTCTTGCGATATAGCCACATGTGAGATCAGTTCCTGGATTGTTCCGTTGGTCTGTTCACTAACCCACTGATTAATTCGGTTTTGAGCACATTCAGGATCTGTATGAAACGCAACCTACACAAAGTTTGATAAGGCAGAACTCATACTCACATGCTCAGTCAGTGCATTGTAATGCTGCTTGATGATATTTCTAAATCGTTTCTCAATTTGCACATCTTCATTTACATAGATTCTATTTCCAGTGATTATCTCAACACTCTCATCAGACTTCGAAAGATCAGCCAGAAGTTCACCAATCGCGCTGTGGATTATTTCCTGTTCCAAGCAATCAGATAACTGCATCGCTTTTATCAACTCAGCATTCGTATTGTTTGCACTTCCACAGAGGATCATTCCGAGGGCAGTATAGATATTGAAAGGGGAGAGAAATGTATTCTCCAAATAACCTGGACGCAACAAATACATCGTGAGGGACGCACTTACCCTTGTTTCTTTTCAAAATCTCCCTATAAAGCTTTTCGCTGAAGTTTCCAAGTGATTGTATTACATCCATCACGGTTGAAATTAGTGTGCTAAATGGTTAGCTTGAAAAAACTATTTGTAGTGGAAGAACACTTCAAATGGTACGTGAATAAGTCATTATTAAGAACTGCGAAGTGATAAAAGGATATTATAATATAGTAAGACGTTTTTGATCATGCAGATGCTTTAACTGACTCAGGTACATGCAATTTTCTTCATGAACATCGTAGCTAAGTGATTTCGACCTTTCTTTTAGTCTTATTCCGGAATATGCTTCAACCGAAAGCATTAATTGTTTCATCATATTAAAGACTTAGTTAAAGTCTTTGTTTTCACTCTTTGTACTGTAGCTGATATGGTACATCTCATATTTCGCTCTCAAAATGCAGCGAAGTTGAAACTTAAAGGAACTAGTTGTATTAGGCCGTCTCAAACACTCTGACCAGTGATTATACCAAAACATGTCTAACTGTTTATAAAAATCCAAAATGCTTTGGTCAACTATGTCGTTACTTTCGATTTATTGGAACAGTTGTTACGGTTTCATCTCTTTACCAACGGTAATTTCTTAATGAGTCCTACCAATTAATATTCATCGCATGTTCATCCAAAAATCATTACAATATTTAATAAAGAAGCGAAAAATTACGCTCCATAGTCTCGATTTTGAATGATGAAATAATTTGTCACAAACAAATTAAACCAAACAGTCAGTGATCTGAGGAATTACTAGAAGAAATAGGAGTTTCCTCAGCTCAGGAATGAAGTGCAAAGCAAGGTCAACATAATTCACAGTTTTAAATTTCCTCCACTTGAAGGTCAGTCTACAGTAATAAGAATAGTAGAATGGTGGACCTGTGTTAATTCTAACATTGTGCCTTCCAGTGAAGGTTCAGCTTCTCCTTAGAAATTATCACTGATAAGGCTGATACCACTTGTTCCGGTAAAGTGTTACAGTCATTGACCACTCGATGAGAAGAACGGAACCTCACTTTAAGTTTATTAGGTCTCTGTTTGTAAACCTCTTTGTTATGACGTCGAAGATTATTATTGTTAGAAGGAGCAAAAAATAAGGCACATTTACACCCAAATCGTAACCAATTATACGAAGTGCCAATATAATGTCACCTCGCGTCCTACAATACGACAAGATGGAAGGGTTTAGGAGTATTAAGCACCCGTCATATGGAAAGTTTAGAAAGACCCTTGACTGACTACATTCCCACACGCCTAACACGCTGAAGTGAGTAACCATCCTTGGTCGGACATGGGACAGCTGCTTGAATACAGCACTCTAAGTGTGGTCATACATAGGAGGGATATAAAATTCGAAACATCCCATCAACCACTAACATGCGCCTTCCACATGATTGATTGTACACAAAAGTGGTCCCTTACATACTACATTATGTCTCCCCACTTGGCGTTTATAACCCTATCACCCATAATAAAGATGTAGCCTGCAGTGATAGGAGAACAGTTAATTTCAACGATGAGCCAACTGTAGGGCCAGTGAAATGTCACTGAGCCCTAGCCAAATCATCCGGCAGTTGGATCACTGAATGTCGAACAGATCGTCGCTCCCTGCCAAGGTCATGTACAACAAACGCGCATTAGTTAATCATACGCCATGGACTGGCCCATGCGGCAGTGGTCTTACTTTCGCTTGTATCTACTTTAACTAATATATTTCTGTAATAACGTCCTTTGTGTTGTACAGTCTTCAAAGCATCTATAGTACCTTGTTACGTCAATGGGGGTAGTCCACGTAAGGTGCTGACCACGAGGTGTGACTTCGACGTTAGTTGGTTCGTCACACTATTCACGTCTAACTCGAGTAGGCCTCTAATCATTTCGACATAGATCATCTACGTTGGTGACCTACACAAGTTTTATTTCAATGTTAATTGAGATTTTTTAAAAGGATGATCATGCCTGTTAGGCAGGTGGCTGTTATAAATTATGTAGAAAAGTCCACTGTGGTTATGTAATAACTGATACATGACCTACAGAATCTGCTTCCCATGTCTTAAATGATATCGTAATCTCATTATAATACACTGTACAAATGGACTTGTCGAGATAAATAAAAACCACGCGATAAAATGTTGCCACTTCAAGAAGTTCCGCCGATTACGGTTTACCCAAGTTTTGTGATTTTTGCTAATTGTGTTAAATCGCATGACGTACAGTTCAGTTTCAGTCGTGCCTTCAGGCTGTAAAAGAGGTATGAAGATCGGCTTTCACCACCTAATGTTAGCCATGTATACCCATCATTCATAGAAACATCATGTTTTAGAGACAATTTGCACATGTTGCTCAATTTGTACCGCCTATTCAGAGAACTCGATGCAACTACACGAAGTACTTTATTTACTTGCAGAACAAAAGCCTATCAAACTGCCAGAGTGTTCATTGTTTGACAGTGCCCTTATTTTCTGCTAACAGATGCAGTGAAAATTTGGAATGGATTGAGTCTTATTCCTTGACATCAGGGTGAAACTAATAGTCACCTAGTTAATAAACAGATATTTGTTTTTGCAAAAGTGTATGTAGGTAGTTCGCCTAGTTTCAACAGTCCCTCTAACTCTTAGATTTTTGCGGTTAAGTGAAGAAAGCTCGTGTAAGACCGAGACCAACTTCTTCAAATGCTGTCATCTTAATGGTGGACAGACAATAATGTCAGTTTACTCACTTGACTGCCTGGTTAATGAATTAAACTGAAGCTTCTAAATAAGGCCACTTGTAATTCTTAGTTGAATTTCTCCGTAATTGTTCGTTGTTTATTTTGGCGCTTCCACTAATAAATCAAGCAAACACGTAAACAATTAACATATCGCATGCTCGTCTCTCGTTGGAACAAAGGACATTTGGACACATTTTTTTTAGTGGCTGGGACTAATGAAATCAGTAACTGTCGCTAATACCCAAGCAACTGCCTGATAATCTTGTGAAGCGGTGCTAATAGAAAGAGTACCTGAGTCAGTTAAAGCATCTGCATGATCAAAAACGTCTTACTATATTATAATATCCTTTTATCACTTCGCAGTTCTTAATAATGACTTATTCACGTACCATTTGAAGTGTTCTTCCACTACAAATAGTTTTTTCAAGCTAACCATTTAGCACACTAATTTCAACCGTGATGGATGTAATACAATCACTTGGAAACTTCAGCGAAAAGCTTTATAGGGAGATTTTGAAAAGAAACAAGGGTAAGTGCGTCCCTCACGATGTATTTGTTGCGTCCAGGTTATTTGGAGAATACATTTCTCTCCCCTTTCAATATCTATACTGCCCTCGGAATGATCCTCTGTGGAAGTGCAAACAATACGAATGCTGAGTTGATAAAAGCGATGCAGTTATCTGATTGCTTGGAACAGGAAATAATCCACAGCGCGATTGGTGAACTTCTGGCTGATCTTTCGAAGTCTGATGAGAGTGTTGAGATAATCACTGGAAATAGAATCTATGTAAATGAAGATGTGCAAATTGAGAAACGATTTAGAAATATCATCAAGCAGCATTACAATGCACTGACTGAGCATGTGAGTATGAGTTCTGCCTTATCAAACTTTGTGTAGGTTGCGTTTCATACAGATCCTGAATGTGCTCAAAACCGAATTAATCAGTGGGTTAGTGAACAGACCAACGGAACAATCCAGGAACTGATCCCACATGTGGCTATATCGCAAGAAACGTCAGCTGTTGCGCTATCCACTACATACTTTAAAGGTAGTATTATTTATTTAGTCGTCAACAATAGTATATTCAAATCAAACATTTATTACCTGAGTTTTTATTTTTTTATTACTGTGTTTTATATCTGCTGTCAACTCTATGTGTGGTTACCTTTGACAGGTTTATGGGGTCCACATTTCCGTAAGGAGGATTCACACGACAGCGATTTCTTCAAACTTGACGGATCAACAATGAACGTGAAGTTAATGTATAATCTATCCTGTTTCAGTATGGTCATCTTACCAGATTTGGGATCGCGAGCTATCAAGATACCGTTTAAAGATCCGAAGTAAGCTTGATTATTAATGTACCTGTTTTAAAATGTTTGTTTAGACCTGACCATGAAGGACTTATGGTGTTCTAATGCTTACATCTTGTTGAATGCAGTGTTTTGATTGCATAGTCTGATAACTGGATTACGAGCAACTCAATGACAGAGATGCAGCTTCAAATAATGCTAACCTAACTAAAGCTGACTGAAGTCAAAAATAAATGGATAATTTACATCATATTCAACTTACGCATGTTGCTCCTCATGAAGGAGGATAGGCCTCCCACCATCATTCTCTATCCAACTCTGTCATGGGCAATCTTTTCCAGCTGCTATTGATCCTTCTGATTTGTGATTCCAATTTTCGACTTAGTGCGTTCTTTGATGTTGTGGATGCAGAGGAATAGACTAATAATTATCATGTTAAGTCCAATGGTGTCCTTGGACTTTAAATGGATATTTTCTATTGGTCGATATCTGTTCACTTGTTGTATATTGTATAAAATGTTGTTTTCTATTTTATGGTACGATGTGGTATGCTTGATTGGTATATAAACAAAGTATGTTTGAAATATTATGATTCATATCTCAGAGGTTGTGGCTTGTGTTCTGGACTCAACTGGCTGGGCTGGACAGGGAAGCAGGACCAATCAGAACTGTAGGCCGTTCGTTCGTGTTTACGTGTCACTGTAACCGATCGATAAGTACACTGCTCTCTAATTTTCCAGTCAAGGACACAACAATTAGCACAGGGTAAAAATCGACAGCAACTTAAAGTCATAACATTTGACCTTCCTCTTTTCCGTTTCCCTTCAGGATTCCAAGTAAGCTCTTCCCTTGTGACGCAGTTTGATAATTTCCTCAGTGTGTGTCGTATCCACTTCCAGTGACTCTTCCTAGTTTCCTCTTCAGCAGGAAGCTGGTTTGTCCTCTCCCACAATATACTGTTGCTGATGGTATCCAGCCAACGACATTGATCATCTTATATAGACTGCTGTTTATTAATGCTTATACCATTTTGATGATGGTTGTGGTAGTTCTGGAAGCTTCAGCTCCGTACAGTAGAACTATCTTGATGTTCGTATTGAAGGTTCTCACTTTGATGTTGGTTGACAGTTGTTTTGACTTTCATGTGTTCTTCGACTGTAGGGATGCTGTTCCTGCTTTGCCAATCCTCGCCCGTAAGTCTGCATCAGATCGTCCTTGTTCATCGATGACGCTACCCAGATACGTGAATGTTTCCACCCCTTCCAGAGTTTCTTCATCAAGTGTGATTGCGTTGGTGTTCTTTGTGTTGTATCTGAAGATATTGCTTTTACCCTTGTGTATGTTGAGTCCTACTGATTGAGAGGCTGCAGCTACACTATTTGTTTAACCTTCATTTGTTGATGTGTATGGGATAGAAAGGCCAGGTCATCTGCCAAGTCCAAATCCGATTTGTCGATTTTATTCCGTGCATTCCTTCAGATATCGATGTCTTCGTAATCTAGTCAACCACCAGATAAAAGAGAGAGATGACGAGAATACGCAGCCTTGTCTGACTCTGATCCTCACTTGAAATGCGTCTGTCAGCCTTCCTCCATATACGACATTTCAGTGTTATCCATAGCATGGATTTCGTATGTTGCAGCCGTTTTCCACGTTTACATAATAATGTCGAAGAACGTTTCATTAGTTCTTCTATTCATACTACTACATTCTTTTTCATTATCAAGGAAATTGATGCATAGTGATAAATTCCATTCAGTTGATTGTTCAACTAATTACAAAATCTTATTTTCTTTCACCATGTTCTTATTCAGTAAGCTTAACCTTCTTTCCATAATCATCTTATTCAACGATAATATTTCATCAATTCAGTAGATACACACAATTCGATAGATATAGTCTTAGAATATCCTCATGTTATCATTAACCACATTTATTTCAAGTGTATTTATATAAATACAAAAATAAAAGATAATCGATTCTATTGATTGAAGACAAAGAATAGCCTATCAACTACATAATTGAAAGAACAACATCCAACTGATTGGTTCTTCAATTGAATCTATCGGAAACATGATTCATGTAATTGAGTATATTTACGGTAAACTGACACGAATTTACCATATAGTTCCCATTCTACAAAGAAAATTACAATTCAGTAGAGAATCACCATGATTATATAATTATAGTCATTGATATCATGATAAGTGAAACTAATGCTTCACAATATTGTGGTCTATTGTTTTGAAGTATAGACATAATTCATTTTAATGGGTAAAACATGAATATCTAACGGACGAGGTATGGTTCAATTGAACAGTATTTTTCACTTAATGTTCATTGAAACAATTCAGTGAATTAGGAACTAGGACGCGTACTTCATCCTATTTCGGACACTCTAACTGGATGTACTTACATCCCAAGGTTGATGTTCACTCTGAGACACGAACCCAGTACCGTTAGCTGAGATGTAGGTCCGCCCAGATGGCGAGTTCCAAATAGGATGGGACGTGCGTCCTGGATTTTACTGCTATCTATCTCTGCTTATAATGTTTGTGAATTAAGGCAATATATGGCCAATACGCACAGCATGTACATATGTCAACAAGAGACTGATCAATTGTAGTCCTAAACATCATTGGGATGGTTCAGGTAAACGATAACAAATGAATGTATTAATTTAATTCAGTTATTTATTACCTTTAAAACATCAGAAATACAGTTTTTTCTATTACATTAGATATAACTAAAAATAGACTTATTATCAAAAGGCGTTTTGTGGAGATTTTAGTAATTTTACAGTTGAATTCATGAGTCATTTGAAACTAGACCAGTATTGTAAACCTGGATTGAATGGACGACCTTTTCGTCCTTGTGTGGGGCTCATCAGCATTGCGCATCCACAATCCCGCTCATGGGGTTCTTATCCAGGGCTTGCGGTCTTGCGTGCGAACACTTAACTTCTAGATCACTGAGCCGGTACCCAATGGTGGTAATGTCTAACCACGAAATTGCGCACTGCTGAGGAGTCCCAAGATAGTATGAAACGGCCGTCCAGTGCTTCTACGTTTTCAGTGGTGGTCTAACATCAATCATTTCATGATACCAATCAAAATCTTAATAATCTCCACAACCCTATACTGATAAATAATGGAATGATTGTGTGTAAAGTGTGACTTCATATGTGGAGTGCGTTGCAATTTGATAATTCAGGTATATGAACTAATTGATGTTTAAAATAGATAGTGCTTGAGATTTAATAACAGAAGCTTAACTGTTATGTTTTGTCAATGAAGTGAAGAATAGAGGATAGGGAAACGAAATACATTCCTGATTAATGGGAGTTAGGATTCCTCTGCCTTAAACCCGAGCTAAAGCATACCATTTGAGGTGTATAACTGATCGAGGCTTCGGTTACGATTGATAGACGAAATAGTAAACCAGAGGGGTAAACATGATTCTGGTTGGTAGGAAAGGCTCATGTAAGGTGTTTGTCTATCAATGAAAGCGTAAGTAAACCGTAGAATGCTTTGTAAAACCAAGTCTATCTGTGTAGAAAGTCGGTCATCAATAGTCATTGACGGATGTATTTAAAGCATCTCCATCATACACTAGAAGCCCGTGGAAGTGATGCCGATATTTAGTGAAGGTAGTACAGTTATGGGACTCTTTTGGTTGGACAAGATAGGAGTGATTCGGAAGACGTCTTAAGTCAGCTAACGTAAAACCATGAGTCCATAAACTGTAAACTGAAATGCATGAATCTTGTGTTTATACATTAACCATTAAACAAATATATTGAGTCCTTTATATAACTATTGAATTGATCTCTTCACTTTTTATGTTTCTTCAAGCTTTTTCTTTCAAGATTAATTGATACTTTTATTATTTGATGTCATCCAATTGTTCGAACTGTATTTTACATGATGATTTAGAGGTTAGAGGCTTGCGCGTAAGACTGGATGTCATGGGTTCAGTTCCCACGGGGAAGGATCGTGAGTACGCACTGCTGAAAAGTCCCACAGTACGACGTAACGTCCCTAAAATTTTTTTCAGGTTTCCTATGGTGGTCTAGCTTTAATGGACTCAGGAATTCAACTATTAAATGAAGTTTATCAAAGATTGTGTATTTAATTATACGTTTACTTACGTTTAAGGATACTATCCAAGTAATCAATGTATTCAGCTGGGATTTCATTCAGTAATATATCATTTGGTTTAATAAGATGATTAATATGAATGAGCTTTGGTTGTTTAAAAATTGTTGAATAATTACGTTTTTTCAATTCGGTATAACTTAACCAACTTACAGGACATCGTTGTTCATCACTTCCTTCACTTAATTGAATATTCCATTCACATGGAATCTCATATAGAATGTATTTGGATTCGAATAATATTAAGTTTAAAATATCCTAAAAAAATGGATAAGGAAACAAATAACTATTATAGTTTCATACACATAGTTCCCTTTATCATTTTGAAAAGAGCAAGAACAAAGATTCTAGCAGAATAACATGAATTCATTTCAATTTCGTAGGTTCTCGTCAGCTGCTTACAACCTGTGATATTTAAAAAGATAATAATTACATAATGGGTTTGAATTGCTTACATAAGAGGGTTTATATTAAAGAAATATTCGTGAAGTATAACATGGGTGTAAATGAAATTAATAGGCTGAATATTGTAAATATATACCTAATGTGAAGGAATATTCTAGAGCATTAATTGTGACAACAGTTCAATAGTGGGTTAGAAACAATTGATTACATAATGAATAAACATTGATAGGAATATAGTGAGTAGAGTTCAGTTGAAAGATTATTCATTTGAAAGATAGTTGAAAAAATAAATTAGAATCAATGATGTAATAAATGCAACAGAAGAATAAGAAGAAAAAGAAACTTTAAGGTTCATTGAAGGAATATTTGTCACCAGGGTAAGGAAAAATTAACCACCGTCTCCTTGTGAATACATAGGTCAGGTTTTTGACGCCTGATGGCAATGGCTTCAGCAAACTTCAGAAGACTGGAGTTTCGCTGCTTACTAATAACCTTGAATGATTGTAGGGTGTCAACCTGATGGCCTATGTCAAGGAGATGTTTAGTGATTGCACTACTTAGAGCATTTCTTTCTCTTGTTCTGAGGTTTTTTTGGAACATGTTCAAAAAATCTGAGATATGCCCTCCTTTCTGTTCGGCCAATGTAGCTGCTTTGGCAGGTACATGTAAATTTATAAATACAATTGACGGTAACATGAAAAGGATGCTTATCAACCTTTGATTGAGTTATTGAACATGTTGTTTTGTACAGAATTTGAAGTTTGGCCGCCGGATAGGTTCTGGCTAGCGCAGTATTGAGTCTCTTGTTGATTGTGTTAGCAAAATCATCAACTATAAGTCTTAACTTCAAAGGTGATGATGTTATTATTATTTTTGTAAATACTATAGGTTGTAAGCAGCTGACGAGAACCTACGAAATAGAAATGAATTCATGTTATTCTGCTAGAATCTTTGTTCTTGCTCTTTTCAACTATTAAAGTATTATATTATGTGCAACTGATGTCGATAGATATAAGTAGTATATAAATCCGCCCGGACTACCTCTGGGGCTACTGCCGGTCCCAAGTCCGGATAAAGTTGGAGGGTTAGGCAGGGGTTTAGCAACCCCATCCCGTAGAAATCTAACTCGCTAAAAAAACGCTATAAGTAGTATGTATCATTAATCAAAAGTGAAATGTCTGGAGACAGAAAGTTAGGAAGATAGAAGAAATGAGAACGAAAACAAAAAAATGATTGGTGTTGAAAAGAAAGAACAATGAAGTCTGAGACGATTGATTGACATTTTGCAAATGAAATATTTACTGTATGGTTCTCAGATTTTACTTAGATGTTCTGTAACTTTGTATTATATCACGTTCGATTGTCACCCCCGTCGTGTGTTCTCGTTCCCAACAATATTTGCTCTCACTCTCGGAACGCTCTCACATGGCCTCTGCCAGGAAAGTCTTACTCACTGTCTTCTCATGGCGGAGAAATCGACAGGAGTTGGTAAACTCTGATCCCAAACGAATGATGCACATGGTGTCCAGGATCCTGAGGGAACAAAATGCTTATGAACCTATAGTTGGTCACCAGCTACCATGAGACTGTATCTCCTGACGTTGTCTCACCGACTTGTGGATTCGACCTTTAGGTCGAAGGCTCTACTAAGAAAACCATTTACTTCGCTCTGGGGACCCGGGCAGTATCATAGCCCACACACAAATCAAGTGACTTGTGTAGCGTATGTGTATTCAGTGTCTCCTTAAGTGTTCAAATGATAATTATTTATGGATATTATAGTAGTTTCAATAGTTGAAATCATGAGTCAATTGAAGGTAGACCGCTATTGGAAACCTGAAACAATTTGACGGCCTTTTCATCCCAGTGTGGCACTCTTCAGCTATGCGCATCCATGATCCCACACACGAGAAACGAACTCAGGACCCACTGGTCTAGCGCGTGAACGTTTAACTTCTAGACCACTTAGCCAGTATCTTACAGTGTTAATGTCTAACCTCAAACAATCCATTGAACTTGCGGCACTGTCTACTATTGTCTTCAGTGAGTTACTATCTCACAAAAGGCCCGATTACGACCGTCCATTGCCTCCAGGTTTTCCACGGTGGTGTAGCTTTAATCGACTCATGGATTCAACTATTAAAAATTTACTTAACAAAAGTTTACAGATAAATTTTTGCATCCAGAAATTTATAATCATATAAACTAGAGTTAGTAAAACTGTAAACAGTTTTAAATTACCTGCTCTCCAGTTGTCAAGTAACCTTGAGTATCCAATGCATTTTTCGTTATAACTATCCATAGTTCATTCCATAAAGTTAATCGTATTTTAGACAAATCGAATAATAGTACACCATTATTATACCCGTAACCCTAAAATAAATATTGTACACATAACTGATTACATTTTACACAGAAATAGCTAAATAATATTTTTCATCACTTGTAATTTTTGACTATAACCATCATCAAGAAGGTACAAGTATTTATAAATGGTTGTCTACGCAAGATACTCAGCATCCGTTGGCCGGATACCATCAGTAACAGCCTACTGTAGGAGAGAACAAATCAGCTTCCAACTGGAGAGGAAATTAGGAAAAGACGATGGAAATGGATAGGACATACATTACGCAAATCATCAAACTGCATCACAAGACAAGTGCGAACTCAGAATCCTGAAGGGAAGCGGTAAAGACGAAGGCCAAAGAACACATTACGTCGGGAAATAGAAGCGGATATGAAAAGGATGAATAGCAACAACTGGAAGGACCTGGAAAGGACTGTTCAGGACAAGGTCGAATGAGAGTGCTTGTGGGTGGCCTATGCTCTTCTATGTTGAGTAACAGGCGTAACTGTAATCTTTGGTTTTCAAATGTATGCCTGTCTTGAAAGTTAGTGTTTAGCCCCCAAATACTCCGGTACGGTCGAGAGTTGGAATAGTCTGCTCTCCCTCTCGAAACGCTCTCACATCGCCACATGCATACACTCACTGTCAGGGAAGTTTTATTCACTGCCTTCTCGCGGCAGGGGTGTTATTTACGAAATTGAGAGGACGACAAGCGAATGTCCGATGCTTTAACAGGGTTTGCTGACACGGAGAACACACCTAGAGGAGTTGAGAAACCCTGATTCCAAACCAATGGTGTACATGGCGTATGAAAATATTATTGGTCACCGGCTACTATGGAAATGCATTTCCTAACTTGTGGATTAAAGCGTTAGGTCAAAGGCACGGGGTGTGGCTCCCTGAGAAAACTACCTGCTTCAGTTTCAGCAACGGGGAATTATCCCAGCCCTCATGTGAATCGAATGACTTATGTGGTGCATATGTAGTTGGTGCCTTTTTGAACCAATTTTCATGTGTATAAATAAATAAATAAATGTCATTTCTAAATTCTTTCATTTAGTAACTTCTTCAATAAAAAAGAATACTTAATTGAGGTATTGTTGTAGCTTCGGACTAATTGACGACTGTATTCTAGAGATTCCAACAAAGAAGTAGACTAATATCCTATTAGGAATATCTGATCTCTCAATACTGTTGATACACACATTCGTATACAAGTACCAAGCAGTACCATACATTTGAGCCAAGGCTTTATGTTGATTACTTATCACTAGGCAAAACAACAAACTTCAAGTTGATGACTGAATTTAAACAACATTAAGAATTAGCTAAAGACGACAAATATTTTAACTCATAGGTTAATGGAAATTAAATTCAATGATTTTTATAAACCATCTAATGGTTCATATTTATCCCTACAATCTGATGTAAACAAGGAAAAATTATGCAATTCATTTGAAGCTACTATTATTCTATAAAAAGTAGTTTGGGTTTTTTTGTAAAAAAAATTAATAAATGATTCATTTCAAAATTAAATATTTCAATGTATTTGAACTTACTTCCCAGTTACTTTCTAATTTTTGCATAACATCTTGAAAATGTGGATTTTGTTCTAATCCAATGCCTATGCTCTTTGAAAAAAAGCCATGAATATACGTAAATCATTAGAAGGAAGTATAAAGTTTTAAACTACCACTCAAGAATAACACATGAAGTTCATTTATATTACTTTGTAGTTAACGATATAACTCTAGAATTAAATGAGTCCTAGATCTTGCTTAATTAATTTACTAGCCGGCAATTACTTAATTGCATTACACTAGTCCCATTATTCTGAATAAAATGCTTCTACCTGAAATGTTTAGTGAATTTAAAGCTTCACTACTATACTGTTATGGTTTAGTTATTGTACATATTCTTAACTGCTGATTATTTCGATTGAGACCACTTATATATATTCATAACCAAAAAGACATCTCAGTAATGATAAAATATCGATGTTAACGGATGTTTCAAATGAAGCTGACAGAATATGCTGATTATAGGTGAAATTCTACTCAAGTATATCATGAATATAAGGTTTACCTGCTTGTATATGTTTGTTTTTATTGTGTCAGGATGGAATTTCAGGCACTCGAATGTTAACATATTTTGTGTATCTGCGTATAATCCATATTTCTTTAGTGAAACCATCACAATTGATTGATCACTGGGTGGTGATCAATCTCATGCTTGTCTAGTCCTTATTAGTGCAGATCGAATGCTATCGATCATGTTGCAATGTGGCCACCAGTCTAGGTGACTCGACACTGCGGGCACTATGTATTGAGATTAGATGGTGGTTGGAGGTAATCAACAGGAAACCCTGAACCAGGGTTTCGTGCTACTTGGCACTCGTCAGCAAGGTGTACCTGTAATCTTGAGGGAACGGGTGCTCCCTGGCGGATTCGATCTCGTGTCACCCAGCTTCACAGTCAGAGACGTTACCACTGAGCTATCCGAGCCGTGACTGACCTCCTGTAGGACTGAGATGTAATCACAATTGATTGATCACTGGGTGGTGATCAATGTCATGCTTGTCTAGTCCTTATTAGTGCAGATCGAATGCTATCGATCATGTTGCAATGTGGCCACCACCTTGCTGACGAGTGCCAAGTAGCACGAAACCCGGGTCCAGGGTTTCCTGTTGATTACCTCCAACCACCATCTAATCTTAGTGAAACCATACTTGAATCATCGAAACTTTAGTTAACAGACTACTAGTAACTGAAATTTAGTAGTATATTTTTCTATGCTGTTTATGTAGAATATAAATAAGATGAGATTTGAATTTAACTACACTTCTAATAATCTATCTGTTGCATCAAGTAACTGTATGTAACCGCAAGACCCTAGGTTCTATTGTAGTGAACAAGAACACCAGTGGGCACAATCGAATGTGATTAAAACAAACTCACAGGACATGTTAATAAAATCTAACAATCATAATGTAAATGCTTAATTTGCAAAATGTCCACCAATTGTCTTAAAGTGATTCAGACTTCATTGTTCTTGCATTTTCATACAAATTGCATCCTGTTTCCATTCTTTACTGTTTGATCCTCTTATCTCTCTGCTGCCAGACCTTTTATTCACGACTAACATCATATACTACTTATGTCAATATAAGTAGCACACACCACACTATCATTACTTCTAAAAAGCCTTGTACTCACATAAAATCGTTATACAGTAACTTCAAACAAACTGCTTATTATACTTATGATGCCATACTAAGACTAAAATACTCTATAGAGAAAACTTATTCATCAATAACAAAGATTTAAGTTGATATAAACAAACCTGAATTTCATTGAAATTTTCAAAGTGATTCCATAATTCAATAATATCTATGTTAAGAAGTATATCATTGTCAAGTACAATAACCTAAAGAAGAATTTCACAATGATGTATGTAAACTATAGTTGACAATACATATATTGAACACCTAAATAGGAGATAAGAAGTTGATAGGGAATTTTAATTTAACAATTGGTTTATGTGCAAGATATGAGAGTTTTTATAACCTTGAGAATATATACATAGACGATGGTGGATGTGTCTTTCAGTTTTGTGAATTAGACACTAACACCATTGGATACCGGCTTAGTGGTCTAGAGGTTAAGTGTCCGCTTACGAGATCGATAGGTATTTGGTTTCAAATTTCTCAAGGTGGGTTCATGGATGCGCACTGTTGAAGAGTGCCAAACTAAGAAAAAAAACGGCCGTCCAGTGCATTCAACTTTTCCATGGTAGTCTAGATTCAGTTGAATTACGATGTCAACTATTGAAATATGTAGCTACTTAGAAAATGGTAAAATTAGTGACTATCTTTATAACTTCCTAATCAGAACCAAAAATGTATACCTAATATCCTCCTAAAGTTTGACTAGAAGCTTCGAAATGTTATTTGTGATTCAGAATGTTTTAAGCAATTTTTTCTTACTTCTCGAATCGTTATCGACGCTTCAAACACTACTCCACGTAGGTGTGTGTAACGGTCAGCGTCCATTTGGGCTGGAGAGCAGCAGATGAACCACGTGAGTTATGTCAAATTCATTTGAAATACGGTATTTTTGACTGTTTTGGAAGATTAATCAACGACGTCTTTAATTTACTTGGATGTTAATAACTTAGAAGTGGTTAGTTACTAGAAAATATTTATATTACTCACTCATATTCATAAAGTCTAATTTTACCAGAAACTTAAGATCAGTGAATTAATATCTGCTATACAACCATTTAAACCATTTCAAACTTTCTTCGTATTGTTCAATAATGTGGTGAAATTTCAAATACTCATTGGATTATTATTTGATCAAGAAAGATATCATTATAGTTCAGTGCTGCTATGCAAGTTAGAATATTAAAAATTGAGAGGTATGTTTGATAAATTCCGAGTTCGGGTTTCACATTCAGGATCGTGGATGGGCACTACTGAGGAATCTCACTCCAGGATGAAACAATCTTCCAGTCCTGATGTGAACAGGAAAACAAGAAGCCCTGAAAAACTATGAAAGCTATTTTTGGGACGTTATTTTATTCAAAGCTTGTAAAACATTGACATTAATTTTTGTCCCTAATCTATTCTACAGAACATAAACTTTCGTTCGCCATACCCTTTTCTGTTCCGAAGCTATTGTAATTTAAACATAATATTTTGCACCTTATTTTCTACTCTAATTCCCAGTTTTGGACATAATTGTATTTTTCCTAATTATGGTACGTTATGGTCGGGTTATTCACTTATTTATTCATGTACCTTTTTTGCACTAATCCGAACTGAACTGAACTGGAATCAGGATATCAGGAATCGATCGAGTAGTGTTCCAGTTGTCTTGTCTTCTCTCATTCGCGTGCTTGTCAGCCAATCAGGCGATAGAATAATTTTCTTCTCTCTACCCCACTTCGAACTCATGCGTACTAGCCTCAAAGTTAGGTCGGTCAGTTTATCGTGCCAAGGCCTTAATCTGAGTTACATAAGTATCCTCAGCACCAAAAGTGGGTAGATAGACCAAAGGACATAACAATTATGCATAGCTAATATTCATTACACTTCCCTTGGTTACATCAATTCATTCAAATATGGAAATGTCATGTTAACTTGGTGATCTCAACCATTAGCTTTCACACATAATCAAAATATTTTGTAAACGATTCTGTAAATCCCTACCGTCCGTCACCCCTCCTATTTTTCATTTATCCACACGTTATCTTTGGTAGATTATTAGTAAGAGTGAAGAATGGGACTTACTTTATTGATATTAGTTGGTAGTATCTCTGTAAGCATTAATTTTAAAAATGGTTTAGTACCTGCAGGATGTTTAGAGCTTATCCACTGAAGATTTGCCTAAAAAACAAAAAAACAGTACACAGAACAAAATACATAATAGTAACATTTTATTACTATAGGGTTATAGAGATTGTTGTGTTGTATGAGTATTATGAAGCGATATAAGTTGGACTACTGTAAAGAACAAGAACACAAGTGGGGACAATCAAATGTATTACAGACTCTATTAGTAAAATCTGAGAATCATGCAGTAAATAGTTCAATTGCAAAATGTCAATCAATCGTCTCAGATTTGATTGTTCTTTCGATTTCACACCAATTATTCTTTGTTCTCGTTCTCTTTTCTTTGATCTTCTTAACATTCTTCCTCCAGACATTTCACTTTTTATCGATGATATGTACTGTATATCTGTCGAAACCGACTAGCATTCTCCAACCCACTATGTACTAAATCTTCCTTTCTGGTTCTATCCAATTTTTGTTAATTCTTTTTATGTCTATCTCCAATTCTCGTTGTAATGTGTTATTTATTCTTCCTCTTCTCCCTTGGCATTGAGGATTTCATATGAGGGCTTGCCTTGTGATGCAGTTAGGTGCTTTCCTCAATCTGTGTCCTATCCACTTCCAGCACTTCTTCCTGATTTCCTCCACCTCTGAGATCTGGTTTGTTCTCTCCCATAGTAGATTGTTGCTGATAGTGTTTGGCCAACGGATCCGAAGTATGTTTCGTAGACAATTGTTAATAAACATTTGTATCTTCTGGATGATGGCTTTCGTAGTTTTCCAAGTTTCCGCTCCATACAGTAGAACTATCTTGACATTTGTATTAAAAATTCTGACCTTGGTGTTGGTTGATAGTTGTTTTGAGTTCCAGATGTTCTTCAGTTGTAAATATTCTGCTCATGCTTTACCGATCCGCGCTTTCACATCTACATCACATCCACCGTGTTCATCAACGATGCTGGCCAGATATGTAAAGGTTTCTGCATCTCCCAAATCTCCGTCAAGTATGATTCGATTGATGCATTCTGTGTTGTGTGGGAGAATCTTGATTTTCCCTTTATATATGTTGAGACCTACCGCTTTTGTGGCTAAACATGGCCATAACTCCATTTCTGAACTTTACTTTAAATATTCAAATAATTACCTTACTACTGTGAACAGTATATTTATTCAATAAGTATAAATTGACATAAATTTGTAAATTCCAATCAACGGAGAAGATATTGTTGAAGAGATCCAGAAAACACTTAGCGAAAAAATGCCAAAAAAGGCTCTGAAAACATTGAGAACCATCTTATCCAATTAGCATTCACTTGACGTTTTCCCAGAAACATCTAGAAAGTGAAATGTCACATGTCGAGTTTTGGATTGGATGATTATATATACCGCTTCTAGGTTTAGTAGCGTTTCAGAATTTCCCGGATACCCTTAGGACATTTAAAATACTCTAAAATCCTAGATTTTCTGTAGGTAAACGAACCTTTGGAGTAAAGCGTTTTTTCCATATTTCGCACATTTTCTTTCGTGTTTAAGTCGCTGTGTAAATTTAGCCTGGCAGTTACTTGAAGAGCTTAGGAAACTGAATCCAACGTTCAATTAGAAAACTTATCAATGGCGACGGGAAAAACTATAATGAATATTTCTTTGGAGCAACTAGATACTTATATGGAGCGTTAAGAAAAGCGGTTTGAACAGTCTCAAATCAAAATCATAAATGCCGAATCTAACGTTCAATTAGAAGACTTATCAGATAATGAAGCATTCCTCTAGTTTACACTAATCTCATATTAAGATGAAACAACTGTTAAATAGTTCTGTACTTAGGGGTATGAACAATACAATCTATGATTAAGGATCATTAGTTATAATGTATGCGAAAACTTACCAAATAGTTACTGCAATTGTAAAAATGATATTCCATATTACGCAATTTCCATGTATTCATCAAATTCAACAACTGACTATTTGATGAAATCGACGTTATTAAGAAATGAAATACAGTTGTATATGTTGTTGATACACTGTTCATAACTGTTTGACAATCATTCATAAATCGATCACAAAAGTTTGATAGACAACAAGCTTTTAAATCACATCGAAATCTTCCATTTTGATGATAAAATATAGATTTCAGAAGACTTTTCAAATATTGTAGATCTCGATCACTATCATATAAGATCACAATGTGAATTTTATTTTCCTAAAACAAAAAAAATTCTCAGAAGGGTTTTTCTAGATATTATAGTAATTTCAATAGTTGAGATCATGAGTCAATTGAAGTCAGACCACCATGGAAAACCTGGCCGGCTTATTGGCCTAGTAGTTACGTACTCGCGCGCGCAACTGATGGGTCCTGGGTTTGAATCTCGCAAAGTGGGATTGTAGATGTGCACTTCTGGAAAGTCCCATACTAGAATGAAACGGCCATCCAGTCCTTTCAGGTTTTTCATGGTTGCTTAGCCCTAATAAACTCATAAATTCAACTATCAATTTAGTAAAAAATCTCCACAAAACCTGATAATAAATTGAATGTATATATTAATTGAACTAATTAAAAGCACACGTTACTATTTTGATCATAATTTAAAAGTGCACTACTACTACTACTATTGGATAGTATAAGACGGTGAGATATTGTCTTGTTTCTAGGTTCCAATACATTAATGATGTGAATTTTTTTCTATAAACTAAAAAAATTTAATAGTTGAATTCGTGAGTCGATTGAAGCTAGATTACCATTGAAAACCCGGAAGCACTGAACGGTCGTTTCGTCCTACTATGGGACTGTTCAGCAATGCGCATCCATGATCCTACTCACAGGACTCGAGCCCAGGACCTTCAGTCTCACGAGCGAACGACTAACCTCTAGACCACTGAGCTTGCATCCAACCTCGTTAATATCTAACTTCAACCAATCAACGAAATGGCCATAATCAATGGAGCCAATCGATGTCAGGTAGGGACAGATATCTACCTCGGACAATGGAAGATAGTCGAGCATTTTCGTGGATTGGTTGAAGTTAGACATGAACACAGTTGGATACGAGCTCAGTGGTCTAGAGTTTAAGTATTCACTTGCAAAACCAAATGTCCTAGGCTCAAGTCCCGGGTTTGGGATTGTACATATGCACTGCTGGAAAGTCCCATACTAGAACGAAACGACCATCCAATACTTCCAGGTTTTCCATGTTAGTCTAGCTTCAATTGACTCATGATCTGAACTATTGAAATTACTATAGTCAGTCAGTCAGTCAGTCAGCTACAATGTAGGACCAGGCACATATGTGCATCGGTCCAGGTTGCCATACCTCATTAGCACAGCAAGATGAACAGCGGATTCATAGGAGTGGTTAGGTCAAAGGTTGCAATAAGGAAATAGTATAGGAAGAAAGAATTAGTTCGTAGACAGAAAGAATGAAGTGATTTTAATCTCTTAGTTTAAGGGAAGACAGGGAGTGTATACACCGACGCCATTGTGATCGATTCTGAGAGATGTCACCAAGAGTCTCCAACCATTGGTTACGAAAGTCACGTGGACCCCAACCAAATAGTCTGCATCTACCAACATGGCTCAGACTAGAAGCTAGTGACTTCAGGCACTATAATATAAATAAGTATCCCTCTCTGATGATAAACATGTTTTTTTATTAACTATTACTTTATCATCATATAACTTACCATGGATTTCATTGTAGTTAGTGAATAAATTGTAAAATCCACATTCCAATAAGTGAAATGAAGTGCAGTACATATCAATAAACTGAATATAATAATGAATGATAATAAGACTTTATTATTATATTGATATTTTTTAATATGATTCATTGTTTTAATGTATCTATTAGGTTCAAACCAATCTGTAAACCATTCTATCATCTTTAATGATAATAATCATAAGTTGAACCAATTAAAGTATGATCAGTTACAATGATTGATGGAATCATCACTAAGATACTTGTTACCAATCACGTAATTGTAAAATTTCAAATGTTACTTTATATTCATTATAGTTTCTTTGATTGGTTAGAGATTGTAGTAATTTAATAATTGAAATCATGAATCAATTAAAGCTAAGCTACCATGAAAAACATGGAAACACTGGATGACCGTCTCTTCCTAGTATGGAACTCCTCAGCTGTGCACATCAACGACCCTGCCCCGGAAGCTTCTAACTCAGGACCTATCAGTCTTGCGAGTAACGCTTAACCTCTAAACCACTAAGCCAGCTGGCATCCATAGGTGTTAATGTTTGACTTTAACTAATCCACGAAATTGAGCGACACATCCACCATGTCATCAGTGAGTTACTATCTCACAACAGACCGGGTTGGTCTCCATTGATCACGGCTTCTCACTAGAATTCCAGGAGATAACTCTTGAAGCCAGGCACTGGTGACCATATAATGATTATAGTGAACATACATACTGAAAGATAAATAATAACCTGTCAATGAAAAGATCTTTTGTCATAGTGATTAACTTTAAATTATCGAGTGTTAAATGATTGTATCTAACTAATATAGAGATTCACTTCGTATTACTTTACTTGAATCTTCCCATTGATAATTAGGACTGTAATTGATCAGTCTCCTATTGGTACATCCAGCTGACTGGTCCCGGGCAGGACAAAACGAGCGTCCTGGATTCCACTGTTAGCCACTATCTATCTTTGCTTATAATCTACAGGTGTTTAGCAATAGACTAGGTTTCCACACAGAGTTTATGTTCAGAACTTTCTAGTAGAGTTATAAACGACCGGCCACTGGTAGGGTTTACGATCTACTCCTCCAAAGAGTCATAAACTAGCATGAAACAGCTAACAGATACTTTCTCGTATGCATTAACTCAAGAATCACTTACTTACGCCTGTTACCTCTTGTCTAAGAGCATAGGCCGCTCACCAGCACTCTCCATCCAACCTCGTCCTGCAGCACTTCTACAACTACTTCCGGTTCCAAGTCCGGTTAAAGGAGGAGAGTTGAGTATGAGGTCGGCGACCTCATCCCGTAGAAAAAGATCTTGCTAGAAAAAAAGGCCAATCAGATTAAAAAAATTAATCCAAGACTTCATGAAAATAATTAATTTTGATCAACTATGATAGTTCATACAAAACTTATTTGTTTAACTAGATGTTTACCATTCAATTCTGCTATAAAATATCATGGAATCAAATTAGTAAACGGAATATAAAGTTTATTTTTCATTATAATGAAGATCTAGGATTATTATTCAAAGGATTGATCAAAGAGAATAATGAATATAAAGAAACTAAAATCGATGGTAATATTTGATCTCAAAACACCGATATTGATATTTGTTCACGATAAATGGTCCTGAGTTTGCTTCTTGATATGGTAGACACCCCCAAATGCCTTGGTACGGCCGAGAGTGGGGATAGTCAGCTCTCCTTCTCGAAATACTCTCACATAGCCACGCGTATAGAGCTTCTGCCAGGGAAATCTTACTCACTGAATTCTAGTGGTAGGGGGTTTTGCTTACGAAATTGAGAGGACGAGATACGAATGTCCGGCACTTCAACCGGTTCAGTGAACACGGAAGATCCATCTAGGGGAGTTGGAAAATCCTGATTCCAAACCAATGGTGCACATAGGCTCCAGTATCCTGAAGGAACAAATGACGTATGAACCTACTGTTGATCACCGGCTATCGTGGGACTGCATCTCCTGACGTTGCTCCACTACATCGTAGATCAGACCTTCATGTCGAAGGCTCCGGGCGTGACCCCATAAGATAACTGCCGGCTTCAGTCTGGGCACCGTGGCGGTATCACAGCTTACACACAAATCAAGTGACATGTGTGGCGCATATGTATTCGGTACCCCATTTGTACCAATATTTATTTGTTCAAATAAATAAATAGATTGTGTTACAGGATTAAAATAAAGTTCCATTGTTGTTCTGAATTATATCATCAAAGCTGGTTGTGAGTAGAAACCCCCACATAAAGTAAGCTTTGATGATGTTGCCCAGAATGATGATGAAGTCATTGTAAGCTTTATTGTATTACAATGTTTAATGCGATTCATGAACATTAGATGACAATTCAAAATCTTACAATAAATTCTGAAAGAATCTAAGAAATTAGATAAATTTCATCCTAGGATGGAACTCTTCAACAGTTCACATCCATGATCCTGGGTTCAAATCCTGTGGGGCGGGATTCTAGATTTCCCATGGTGATCTAGCTTCAATTCACTCATGAATTCAACTATAAGACTTTCTTTCAAAAAAAAAACACAACACGTTTTTATCTTTTAAAAAGTGAAAACATGTTGTTATCCCACAAAAAAACATTCATACAAATGATGGTCATTATGGTAGAATAAGGAAACACAATTCAGGAGGAAAACCATAACAGACTTAGACTAAGCAAGGGAATTATTTATCTTTATCTGTATAGGGTTGTGGAGATTATTAAGTTTTTAATTGAGATCATGAACTGATTGATATTAGACTACCATTGAAAACCTTGAAGCACTGGATGGCCGTTTCGTCCTATTGTGGGACTCTTCAGTAGTGCTCATCTACGATAATATTATACATATTTGAGGTTTTATTCGGAAAAATAATTCATCAAAAGTAATCGGAATGAAGTATAAATGGTTTTTTACAGATCAAACTTGTCTTTTTTCATTATGTAGAATATTACAGAATTAGTTAAATCTGTAATACGAATTGACTTTACTTAACTATTATCAATCCATAATTATAAACTATCAATTTATCTCATTAGTGAAAAGTTTGAGTTGAATGTTACTTTCATACAATACATAAGAATTATATTGTTGAATAGAGTATTAAGTAGTAGGTCAATACATATATATTCAAAGGTCAAGAATAGTAATATAAGTACTGACTCTTAATAACATAATCTTAATCAGGTCAGTATGTATTCAAGTGTTAAAAACAACTCTAATAATAAGTATATAGAATCAATATTTTTACTCACAATTGATTGATCATTGGATGTTTATCAATGTCATATATGTCAAGTTCTTCTTAGTGCAGATTAATTCCTATAGACTGAGTTGGAATGTTGCCACTAGTCTAGGTGACTAGACATTACGTGCGCTATGTTGTGATAAGATGATGGTTGGATATAGTCAACAGGGATCTCTGGACCTAGGTTTCATACTACTTGGCGCTTGTCAGTAAGGTGTACTTGTAATCTTGATGGAACTGATGCTCACTGACGGGTTAAGATGTATTTATAATCGATTCATCACTGCAGGAGGTCAGTCGCAACCCGGATAGTCTGGTGGTAACGTCTCTGACTGTGAAGGTGAATGACATGGAATCAAATCTATCAAGGAGCTTCAGTCCCCTCATGGCTATAGGTAAACTCTGTTGACGAGTGCCAAGTAGAACGAAACCTAGGTCAAGGGTTTCCTGTTGACTTCCTTCAACCACCATCTCATACTTTTACTCGTTTATGTTGTATAATCAATCAGTTTGATGAGTCATAAGATTATAACATAAAATATGCACATACTTGCTGCTTGTTGATGCTATGAGAAAAAAATGTTTAGTAACAGTTAAAATAATTAGAACTGTATTACCGTTGTTTATGCATGATTCATGGCAATGGATATTTTCATTGCATGGTCCTTTTAGTTTTACAACAAACCATATCTAGCATTCGAGACATTAGGAAACATTTCAGTGAGACCATAATTTATGGATGACCTTTAAAAGACTCTAGACTGATCTTGAGAGTGTCAACCTAATACCTAGGATTAAGTGAGGATAATAAACCAGTTTAAGGAATTCGAACTGTGATTTACATTTAATGCTTATGGTTAAGAATTAGATTCAGGGTTTTCATCACGAACTGACATAAACTATAATGCCAAAAGTCTATTTAGCCAAATGGATGAGTGAATTTCAAGCCGAAATCTGAGATCTGTTATCTTATACCTGATTGTTTCGTCCATAAATTATAGTCTCGCTCACTTGTTGTTGCTGAACCGGATGAAGGATGCAGTAGACGCCCAACTTCGAGATCAACAAGCTGGATTCCGTAAGGATCGGTCGTGCACAGACCAAATTGCAACACTACTGATCATCGTCGAACAATCAGTTGAGTGGAACTCATCACTATACATCAACTTCAACGATTATGAAAAGGCATTCGACAGTGTAGACAGGAGGACATTATGGAAACTTCTTCGACACTACGGAATTCCTGAGAAGATTGTCAATATAATCCGGAACTCATACGACGGACTACAGTGCAAAGTAGTTCATGGAGGACAGCTGACAGATGCATTCCAAGTAAGGACTGGAGTCAGACAAGACAGTTTACTCTCCCCCTTCCTTTTTCTCCTGGTGGTCGACTGGATTATGAAGACCTCAACATCTGAAGGAAAACACGGAATACAATGGACAGCTCAGAATCAATTAGACGATTTGGACTTCGCAGATGACCTAGCCCTCCTATCACGTACACACGAACAGATGCAGATGAAGTCAGCCAGTGTAGCAGCAGTCTCTGCATCAGTAGGCCTCAGCATACACAAAGGGAAAACTAAGGTCCTCAAATTCAAAGCGGAGAACAGCAATCCAATCACTCTTGATGGCGAAACTCTGGAAGATGTAGAATCCTTCACATACCTGGGAAGCATCATCGATGAACAAGGAGGCTCAGATGCAGACGTAAAGGCGAGGATCGGCAAAGCAAAGGTCGCATTCCTACAATTGAAGAACATATGGAACTCAAAACAACTTTCAACCAATGTCAAAGTGAGAATCTTCAATACGAACGTCAAGGCAGTTCTACTCTGTGGAGCTGAAACTTGGAGAAC